ATTTGGACTGTTAAATGGAACGAGGCTTAAGGCGAGCAATCGAATGAGTTACGTAAAACCAAAACGATAATAAATACACCAAAATAACCGATGTCGTCCACATAGTTTGTCCTTCGAGAAATAGCTTACGACGGATGAGCGATGTTATTTCAGGTGTTTTCAGCTACTTATGCTGGCTTTTGAAGTGCACATTCAATACAGAGCTCCACTGAAATGGAAGGCGACATATCTGCACGGTGTCCACGCCCGGGGCTGTTGGAAACATTCGTGTCATGTGCTCATGTTTACGCGAACGCAATGTTTATCCGGCCCATTGGCCAGCGATCGCCGTGATGTGGTAACGCTACAGATGCATTTCAGATAACGATCACACGTAACCAAGCACGTTATAGTAAAGTAGCATCGCATAGCATAACAACCCATACCTACGTGTAAGCTGGCAGACCTGAGTTGATAATCACCAGGTATATGTAGCTGTTACCCACGTTCGCCTTACCTCTAGATAATCGCCGTTGCAAAAGTCTGTCTCAGCGATCTGGAATGTGCGGAAGCTGAGGTGGATGCCGTTGCCCGCAGAGGCGTAGATTTTCCACCAGCATTCGACGTCGTTGGGGTAGCTGTCGGGGTAGCTGGGCGAGGCGAGCAGGCCAGTCTCGGCAGCCAGGCGGCCGCCGCAGCCTGTCCATCAACACCAGCGGGGGGATCGTCAGGCGGGGCACAGGTGTAGCACTCTCTCCTTCCAGTCCCGCACGGTTCGGGGGTCATCTCCTTCCAGTCCCGCACGGTTCGGGGGTCATCTCCTTCCAGTCCCGCACGGTTCGGGGGTCATCTCCTTCCAGTCCCGCACGGTTCGGGGGTCATCTCCTTCCAGTCCCGCACGGTTCGGGGGTCATCTCCTTCCAGTCCCGCACGGTTCGGGGGTCATCTCCTTCCAGTCCCGCACGGTTCGGGGGTCATCGCCCGTGTGGAAGTTTGGGTTTTTTCGCAGCGGACTGCCACAGCGTAAGCGGCCTATCTTTGAATCTTCTGAGATATCTTCTGCATTGCATCCTTTACTTCAAAAAATGTGACGCTTTGGCTCAGACGCATGACACAACTGCCATGTGTATACATGAAGCCGTTCGTGGGTGAGCACATGGACTTATAATGGAGCATTCTACTTATATACTTATGTTTGTCATGGGGATTTCCGTCCTAATTCATAAGTATGAAAAGGCGCTTCTCGAGCCTCTCGCTGGACCAGGCTCTACTGGGCTACATGCGGAACGGGTGATAATGAACGTCACATCATGGTATGATCTTGTCACCGGACGCATCGGCAAAGGTCGAACTACAGACTTTGACCCCTCTAGGCGGTGCCAGACCGTCCAATGCGGCATCTCGCCACCCCGCAGAACATGCTGCTAACCCTGCCGCTGACTGCCGCACGTCGGCCGTACCGGTGGAGACGTTGGAGAAGCCGGCGCTGAAGAGGACTCCGACGCCGGCCGACACCTGCAGCCGGAGCCGAAGTGCGCCGCCGCGCGAGGTCACCGCCGGCGGCAGCTGTGACCTGCAGTAGCGGTGCAGCACGGGTCCGTCCGGGCCGGTGCCCTCCCGCACCTCCAGGTAGTCGTAGGAACAGTTGGCAGAAGGCAGCTGGCTGTGCAGCATCAGCGCGTTGAACTGCATCCACACGTGGTCGCCTGTCGCGGGAGGCGTGTCAAGTGCCTGGCGCGCACGCTGCAGACCGTCCGGCGCTGGGGCTGCATGTTGTATGAACACTGATGTATGGGCGCTGCACGACCGCAGCGGTCGAAGCGCCCTACAGTCAAACGGATATTTGTGTCCTATGGTGCACCGACAGTGTGACTACTTTACTTTGCCGGCTATCTTTTCCGTGCGTTAGGATGAAGATTTGGGGTTGGAGGCACTTTGTGACCGAGCAAAGATGATGTACACACCAAGTGATGAAAGCTCCCGAACAGAGGTACACGAGCAAAGTGTACGTGTCCTAACGTGTCCTATCTCACGTAATCTTCGTGCTATCATCAGTGTTTCCACCCCGCTTCGCTGCGAACACCACGAGTCTTGAAGTGCAGCACTCCCAGCGCAGATCTCACCGGGCCGGGGGGCTTGCAGGATCCAGGTGCAGTTCAGGCTGCCCATGTGCGTCATCGGGAAGTTCGGCGACGAAATGTGATCCATGGATGTGACGTTGATGGTGCCGCCGCAACCCTGGCAGTACAACGAGGCCACCGAGCCCGCCAATGTCAGACGAACTGCGCCGTCAACTCCGGGCGACAGACAGACAGTCTGGTTTGCAAAGTTTATAGACTGCATGTAACAAACAGTGCCGCATAGTCCGTTCTTGAATGCAAGCAGCCTAATAGTATTTTCAGTATGCAGAATAACAACACACCTTCGTTATGTCAAACTTTGGAGCTCTGGGCAATGCACCGGCTGCTTCATAACCACTCCACAGGCTACGGGTGTCGCTGCACCATTTTGCTCAGTTTGGTATCAAGCACCAACGATTTATTGAATTTCTGCATCAATCGCCATAATTCATTCCTACCGGTAGAGATTAAAGAGCAGGAAGCAAAGAACAGAAACAATGATAAGGCAACAGGTTCGTCCCATCTTGCGAAAGAAACATTGCTAATAAGCAGGCCTTGTTCGTCTTTCCATTGGACGGCAGACAGCAAGATCTTAGGGTACGCCAATCACCATGGCCGAGGATGGCTTGATCGCTGCGGCGCCCCTCACCATGGTGTAGTTAGCGACGAATCCCTTGGCGGCCACGGAGCCATCGGCCTTGAGTCGGACGAGCATTCTGCTGCCGGTGGAGGTAACGGTGGGCGGCTCGGGCACGCGGTTGCCGCAGTGCTTCAGCAGCAGCGGCGAGCGTCGCGACCACCCGTCCCGGACCTGCCGCAGCCGGCGTCAGCTCAGGTCAGGTCGGCCCGCAGGCAGAGGGGACGGAGGCAGGTGGGCCTGTGAGGACCAAGTTCGAAGCACTCTACCGTCTTCAAGCCGATGCTACAGCGGAGCAACGGCGATGGCCCGTCAAGTATGAGCACTGCCAATCGGTGAGACAAAACTCCCATCCTCTTCGGGCTGTGCATCTTCAGCGTTTTCCTCTTTCGCAAGGCCGCTTTCGGCCAGCGCCCATCCCACTCACGGCGACGTAGTCGAAGGAGCAGTTGGTGTGCGGCTCCACGTCGAAGTCGTCGAACGTGAGCTGCACGGTGTGGTGGCGCTGCACGCTGATCCGCCACGTGCAGTCCGAGTGACTGTCGTACACCAGCGGGTAGTTCGGGGAGTGAATCGAGCCGCGCACCGCCGTGAACCGCCCGCCACAGCCTGCCGGGGGAGGGGGAGGGGGGGGGGGGACACACCACGTCACGCTCGCGGACAGGTGCAGCACTCCCGGATCAGACCCGAGGCCGGTCATTCGGACGGCGTCGGCAGGCGCGAGTCGTGTCGCACAAAGCCACGCGAGGAACGCGAGCGCAGACGTGGCACGAGAGACAGGCCGTGGAGTGGTATAGCAGGGCGCTGGCGAGCGATCCGTGCGCGGAAGCCATATGGCAAAGTTCATGATCAATTAATCTACACAGCCGGTCCCGGAGGCGACAGCAACCGTTAACAAGTTGACTAAACTAAACAATAAATAAGAGGCTAAAAATATGAAGCGGATTGTTAACAAGAGGCTAAAGAGAAGCGCGGCACCGCTCATGGCCATAGCACGGCAGTACATGAGATGTCCTTTCAACACAGTAATGTAAAGGGGTGAATGGCCTCCCGTGCACTCTGCGCCATGATGCAGAGTACATCGGGTGGCACTCTCTCAGACAGCGGGGCACACAGTGTTGACGGCCGCGGGCTCTGTTGAGGATCTGACCTCCTCTGCGGACCCGGTAGCGGGCGTGGAAGCCGTGGCCGGAGACGGAGCCGTCGCTGTAGAAGCGGACCAGCATGTTGTTTGCCCTGCGAGATCACCGTGGACGGGGCGGTCTGGGCGTGGCAGAGGTTGGTGAGCATTGGCGCCGTGTCGTCCGGTCCGCCGAACACCTGGCAAGGATCACACATGTGTGTCACGCAAAGGTCAGGTGATAATATGAAACATCTGGCAATGGTCACACATGTGTGTCACGCAAAGGTCAGGTGATAAGATAAAACACCTGGCAATGATCACACATGCGTGTCACGCAAAGGTGAGGTGATAAGATAAAACACCTGGCAATGATCACACATGTGTGTCACGCAAAGGTCAGGTGATAAGATAAAACACCTGGCAATGATCACACATGCGTGTCACGCAAAGGTGAGGTGATAAGATAAAACACCTGGCAATGATCACACATGCGTGTCACGCAAAGGTGAAGTGATAAGATGAAACACCTGGCAATGATCACACATGTGTGTCACGCAAAGGTGAAGTGATAAGATGAAACACCTGGCAATGGTCACACATGTGTGTCACGCAAAGGTGAAGTGATAAGATGAAACACCTGGCAATGATCACACATGTGTGTCACGCAAAGGTGAAGTGATAAGATGAAACACCTGGCAATGATCACACATGTGCGTCACGCACGAGGTAAATTGAGGGGATGCAGCTGAGTGTTATGATCTATACCAGGCCCGTATGCTTAAAGGTCAGCAAATATTGAGCGGATTACGGGCATGTCACAATTGGTTTGCAGCACTAAGCTAATGCCTCTATTTCCCATATCTAGCATAGATACGAAGCTTTTTTGGTCTCAACGTCCTCCAGTATGCGCCCCTGGGCTGGCAAAGCTCACCCCAGCCCGTCACTACTAACAGCAGCATGCACCCCTGGGCTGGCAAAGTTCGCCACAGCCCGCCACCACCGCCAGCAGCCGGCGCTCGCAGCTGTAGCCGGTGCTTGCCTTCAGAGAGTCGTAAGCGCAGTTGTGCGCCGACTCGATGTCGAAGAAGTCGATGGTCAGCTCGACCCTGTAGCCCGGTCTGGCCCGGATCTGCCAGTCACACTGGGTCCACTTGGGGTAGGGCTGCGGGTAGTTCGGAGACTGGAGGGTGCCCCTGCGCTTGGTCAGCAGGCCGCCGCAGCCTGAGGGGACGGTGGGTGATGACACGGAGGAGGGCACGCCGCACGCCACTCGCCTACGGAGCCTGTCCCCCCCCCCCTCACGGGGGTCCGCCGCAGCTGATGGCTGGCCGTCACATCAGACGGTGCCAATAGGCGCCGTTGGAAAAGATGAACCGCATTCTGTCTGGTTGGATAGACTTTGCCATTCGGGACAACCAACGTGTGCGACAACTGAGACGTGAGGCGATTAAGCAACGCGTGGGCATCGTATGAAAAGATCATTGGCTAAGGCCCAAGTTGATTACGCATCGCATGCGGCTTGCTATAAACATCTCCGTGCCTTAACGCGTGCCTTGTAAACGCGCATGGCTGCGCTGTCCAACTAAATTAAAAAGACGGCGTAATAGCGCGGTGCCTGACCCCGCCTCATGTAGCCGGCAGCTGGGACGAGCCGGCCAGGGCCGACCGAGAACTCCGCGGGGCGCAGGCGTGCATGCTTCAGACGGCACGAGCACATCCCTCATTTCGCACCGTGCACAAACCACTCCAGCCTGAAGCCGTTGTGGGCCACAGATTCGTCCGACTTGAAGTGGACGTAGGCCATGTTCTTGGCGGTGGAGATGGGGGCGGGGCAGACCGTCGCGGCCGCACAGCCGGGAGCCGATTAGCGTGGGCGCCTGGCTCTTCTCTCCCTCCTTGATCTGTCCAACGGGGGGATCGTGGACGTGTCACGACTGCGAACACCATCACCCGCGGCGGCTTAGCTAGCCACGTTTCGGTGGGAAGCCGCGGTATGAAAGGGGTGTTCTGGTCGCTATGGTCGCCTGAGCCAGCGTCTTTCGATGTACGAGACCCGGCATAGCGCCCCTTTATAACAGGGCTAGTGTTGCCTTATTGCCTTCTCTGTCATACGGTGTTCTCCACCCACGCTCCACAAACCCAGCCTGGGAGCGGCAGTTCGCCACGCCGCGTGCGGCCTCACCTCTATGTAGTCGTACTCGCATCCGGACGAGCTGGGGTCTTCGACGTCGAAGTGGGAGAAGGAGATGTTCAGCGTGTTGCCAAGCGGAGCCATGATGGTCCAGGTGCAGTCACGGTCGTGCGGGTACGGCTCGGGGAAGTTCGGCGACTCAATCACGCCCCGGTGGCTGCCCGTCACGATGTTGTTGCAGTCTGTGCGCGGCACGAGGGTGCAGGTCAGACATGTGCTCCCGCCCATGTTCTGCGGTGTGGTGGTTTTGTCTGTCTAATTTCTGCAGGTGATTTAGCGATCTTAAAACCAAATCAGCGATGCAGCCGATGCAAAACTGAGCGCCGATTAACATTTGTTTGTTAGTTGCCATGGGTATCTTTTCCCTTTTCTTGAAGTGGCCTGGTCCGTTCAAGAGCAAAGAAACGGCAAAAGCTTCGCGTCACCTAGCTGGCAATGCATGTTTCTTACACAGGTCACACTGCATCGTATGAGAGGACTTGGGAAACAGTTCCGACGCATTGTGCCTGCAATGCTTGCCGCGCCTTTACACTAAATGCGAGTGAAAGCTCTTTACACGATGCAGCTGAACACATATTTGAAGAATACAGCATTCGTCCACACGTTCAGAAACTCCAAACAACAGGCTAGGTTTCCCAAATATCGAGATTTTCCTCGCGCTTTCCTGGCACCCGGGAGGTTCCGGTAATGAGGCGGACGCCTGCCCCAGGTCAGCTCCCCGCCAGTTCCCGACACGCTCCCGCCAGCCGCCTCCACTCGGCACCCACCAATCACGTAACGCGCGTGGAACCCGCGGCCGCTGACCGAGAAGTCCGTCACAAACTTGACGGTCATGATATTGGTCTTGGACTCGACGACGTCCAGCTGGTCGGAGCCACACGCCCGCTTCTTCAGCACGGCGGAGGGGCCGGCTCCCTCGTATACCTGGTTAGGCGGCACGGGGTCAGGGCTCGTCCGCAGCTGCTCGTCATCGGTTACCAGGCCTGCGCAGCATGCACCATCGGCAGGAGCTGTCCAGGACGCTGATCTGCTCCCTGTCTGCGTCTGGGCCGCCAGCCAATGGCATCGCGCGTCTGCTTCAGCTGAGAGGTGGCCAGGACGGGCACAGGCGTCTCTCGGTAGGTTCTCGGCTTGTGCTCGCGGTTACTGGATCGCTTGTGTCGAGCGAACTTAGCTCGTTTAGTCACTGGCAAAGTGAGCAAAATGCGTCTGCGAAAGAGTTGCCGTGCGCTTGACACTGCGCAAGAACATGGTAGTCTTTGGCATGAGAATACTCCAAGTCCTCCCCCCCCCCCCCTCCGCCCGCCCTCCCGCCCGCCGATGAGGCCGACGCCGGCTCCCTCACCGCCACGTAGTCCATGTTGCACGTGTCGCTGCCTTCGATGTCCATGTCCAGGAAGGAGATGCGCACTTTGTTACCGGCGTTGCCGGCGATGACCCAAGTGCACACGGCCATGTGGGCGTACGGTTGCGGGTAGTTGGGCGAGATGATGCTGCCCCGGGGACCGGTCAGTCGGCCGCCGCAGCCTGACGACGGCAGGCTGGCGTTAGCTGGCGCAGGGCAGCGAGTAGCCTGGTGCCAGAGCTCGGGCAGTACGCCGTCATTGGGCGCGGGACAACAGCGGCGATACACTGTCATCAGTCAGTGGCATCCGCGTTTCCATTGATGATCGGTCAGTGGGAGGGCTGTTGATGCCGTGATGAGTCTCATGTGAGTCATTTGCAGGTTGGCGTACTGTGTTAACATCGCTAGAACTGACATGCTTGGAAGACCCCGCATTCCAGAGCTGAAGCACTTGATAAGCTGCGGAACTAAGTTGAAGTCCTATTCGTAATGAGACAACCGTTATGAATCTTAAACCTCACTAGTTAGCCTGAGTTGAGATCATTTTTCACGATAAGCTGATAGCTCAGTGTGTTAGATTCAGGGAGCTAGGCACTGACCTTTAAATCAAATCGATTCATTAGGGCATTGCCATCGACACTGAAACATCGGCATCGGCATCGGGGCCTCATGCGCTGAGATGTAGGCGGATGCTCAGTTGCTGCGTCCCGGAGAACACGTTACCGGTGGCCGTGGCGTCCCAGGAGATGCGGAAGCCGGCGCCGCTCAGTGAGCCGTCCGAGCGGAAGTGCAGGAAGAGCCGGTGCGCGTGCGACGAGATCTGACGCGGCATGTTGGTGCCGCAGTACTTGCCGATCAGCGGCGCCGTCGCCGAGCCGCCGTTCCTGCTCAGACACGGGCAGGTCTGAGCCCGGGTCAAGCCGCGCTCGTGCGCCAGCGGGCCTCGCGATGCGACAGCGTGTTGGTAACGGTCGTACGCAGCTTCTCAGTTGAGAGACTGTAACTCCCGTCCGAGGCGCGTTCCACCCGCATTACGGATCAGCTCCGTCACCACATTCGGCTAGCATTGTGGACCATCACTGCACTGACGGCCACTCATTGATGGTAATGGTCGCCGACAACTTGCCGCAGCCAGGTGCGTATGAGGCAACCGAACGATCGAGTGCCGACAGAAGCCATACGGAGCGTCCAGCCGCCGCGTTTGATCCCGGTCATCCTCAGTCATCAGCCTGACACTAGCCTGATCTCCAGGTAGTCACAGCCTGACACTAGCCTGATCTCCAAGTAATCATGGCTTGACACTAGCCTGATCTCCAAGTAATCATAGCTTGACACTAGCCTGATCTCCAGGTAGTCACAGCCTGACACTAGCCTGATCTTCAGGTAATCACAGCCTGACACTAGCCTGATCTCCAAGTAATCATAGCTTGACATTAGCCTGATCTCCAAGTAATCACAGCCTGACACTAGCCTGATCTCCAGGTAGTCACAGCCTGACACTAGCCTGATCTCCAAGTAGTCACAGCCTGACACTAGCCTGATCTCCAAGTAGTCATAGCTTGACACTAGCCTGATCTCCAGGTAATCACAGCCTGACACTAGCCTGATCTCCAGGTAGTCACAGCCTGACATTAGCCTGATCTCCAAGTAATCATAGCTTGACATTAGCCTGATCTCCAAGTAATCACAGCCTGACACTAGCCTGATCTCCAGGTAGTCACAGCCTGACACTAGCCTGATCTCCAGGTAGTCACAGCCTGACACTAGCCTGATCTCCAAGTAATCATAGCTTGACACTAGCCTGATCTCCAAGTAATCACAGCCTGACACTAGCCTGATCTCCAAGTAATCACAGCCTGACACTAGCCTGATCTCCAGGTAGTCACAGCCTGACACTAGCCTGATCTCCAGGTAGTCACAGCCTGACACTAGCCTGATCTCCAGGTAGTCATAGTTGCATTCGAAGTGATCCTCCATGCCGAAGTGGGAGACGTTGAGCATGATCTGTTGGTTCTGCGGCGCCTCGATGATCCAGGTGCACTCCTTGCTGGGCGGGTAGGGTCCCGGGAAGTTCGGGGAAGTCAGCACGCCGGAAATAGTGTGGTACGTCCCGCCACACACTGGAAACGGAACACAGGCACTTATGGACTGTTAACAGCCAACCGTGTTGTTAGAAGACCCGAGTTTGCCTTTATAAAACGTATTCCGAGACAAGGAAGTTCATGCCCAATTCGTGTCTGCGCAGAGGGATAAAGAAGCATATTCGGGTAACTTCATCACCTCCCGTGAATTACTTGTGTGTCAATGGACTTTGCAATGACATTCGTGTTACCACGGTTGCGCGCGAAATGTGCTCAGCGAATCTAAAACCCTTCTGGTACCTTCATGAGACAAAGCACTCACGTGTGGACGCGTTCAGACCGATGAAGGAGGCCGCAAATCCATCATGGGTTATACTAGTGTCAGATGTGAATATCACCGTCATCACGTTTCCCAGCGTGGTCATGATGGGAGGCAGCCGTTGGCCACAGTACCTGTGGGAGTGAACACAAGAGAGTCACATAGCGTTGAAAACTTTATCGTCATATGCGGATAAAGGTCGTTTGCGAACGACAGCAGGCGTTCCGATTAAATCCAAGTGTCCAGTGGCATCTTCAGGGTGAGCAATTCAGAAAAGCACGTCTGTTTGTATCACTGTTCTATTTTTTTTCTTTCTTTTTTGGTAGACGCACAGCACAAGTGGATACACGGATTATGATGACGTTAATTTCTACACAACTTCTAGATATCGGAACCATCACAACCTTTGGGACGATCCAGACATAGACTCGCGCCATCCTCTACGGGTGGCGATCATGACACACATGGAGAGCGCGCATATATTGGTATGGATGGGGGAGAAGTTTTCAGGGCACAAAGGTGATGCAGAGTGTGCAGCAGGCAAATCATTAAAAAGAGCTCGCGGGATCTGAACAAAGACTTTTGGATATCTCATTGGATAAGACTGCCCACTTGGGCATGCGACACTGATGGTGCAGTTCATTCCATCAAAAGCCCAAGCTTTAGCATGTTTTTAAGCAATGTGTCCGGAGGAGGAATAAATAACGCTGAAACATTTCGAAATGCCGCACAAATACCAAGCAGCGTCTAAAAGTAACTTGGCTTGTGTTTTGTATCATTTCTGGAATGCGTTTTGAGTAGCATCCATGGCTGGCGATACTGTCGAAGTCTTTGCACAACGAAGTAAGCGGCGGACGTTCTATCCCAGAAGACCGAAGTGTGTAGTAATCTCTTTGAACATTGACTCTGGGGAACGTCACTGGATAGGTGTTATCAGAGGCATCAATGCGCTGAGACACTGATGCAGCTACGGTCGCTGACCCAATAGCTCACAACACAGTTGTCTACAAGCGATTGTGACGTTGATCTCAATCTGGGAGCAGAGCGCAGCAGAAGTGTGCCCCACGCGTGGAAGAGTCGTGGCAACAAAGGCAGGTCATATTCAGCGAAGGGCTTTCGCCGGAGATGCATGTCACACTAACCATCTGGCGATGAGCCCACCGTTGGTGACAGGTCACACTCACAGTCTGCCGATGAGCCCACCGCTGTTGACAGGTCACACTCACAGTCTGACGATGAGCCCACCGCTGGTGACAGGTCACACGCACAGTCTGACGATGAGCCCACCACTGTTGACAGGTCACACTCACGGTCTGACGATGAGCCCACCCCTGTTGACAGGTCACACTCACGGTCTGCTGATGAGGTCGCCGTTGGTGACAGGTCACACTCACGGTCTGCCGATGAGCCCACCCGTGTTGACAGGTCACACTCACGGTCTGACGATAAGCCCACCGCTGTTGACAGGTCTCACTCACGGTCTGCCGATGAGGCCGCCGTTGGTGCCGGCCGCCGCCGTGCTGTTGTCATACACTGACACAGAGTCGTAACAGGAGCCTGTGCGAGTCGCTGCCTCCAGCGAGAACGATAACCAGGTTAGCCGCACGATCTCCCCTGAGAACAGGCAGGAGGGAGATCGGAGTTAATGGCCGGGGAGATCCAGTTCAAGTTCAATCTCCCATGACCCGAGATGGCATTGTCCTGATGATGGCAAAATACCTGAGAATCGTCGCGGATCTGTCGACCGCTGGCTGAGATCGGGTTATTTTAATCTGGGGTAAGCGATTGCCTGTCTGCGTATGATGTGGAGCCTCAGTTGGTGACACACTCAGTTTGCCAAGAGAACCGGAAATTTAACTCTGTTATCAACACTGAGGAGAAGGAACCGCACGTTTCTGTGTACCTCTGGAGAAAAGCACGGTGCATCGTCGATATAAGAAAATAGGTATAGGCTATGATGTGTTCGACAAGTTGGTTATCGTCCCTGTCGGATGAAGGCCTCGGCGCGCCTCCCTCCGAAGAACTTTAAAGCTGGGGACACTTTTGCAAGCACTAAGCGCAGGGTTTGAGCAACTTTTTAAACCTACTGTTCCACCCATTTGCACGCTCCATGAAAAGTTTAAGCTCTGTCTCGTAGGTTACCACAAATGACCCTTTTGTCGAGGTCACGTCGGTAACATTTTATCCTCACGTCATAGAACATTATGATGCAGCTCAACACTTCGCATGATGCACATGATGGTGCAATTTTATTCATGCACCATGGGGCGTACTTACAAAGGAGGAAACATGCTCGAGGAAACATGCTCCTTTATTAAATGCATTACATCCATGAATAATGCGGGAATACATATTGGCAATAAGGGATTCGATGTAGACGCGTACAACTGTACAGATCGATAGAATGATATATTTTCACGCTATGCCACAAATTTTGCGCATTGGTAGGTGCATTCAACTGCGTTTTTTAAAGACAATATGATGAGCTGTGCTGTCCCTTCCATTGCGAAATCCTATGTGCGTCTCTGAATGTGGCTAGGTTCAGTCGTCTAACGCCTAGTTAGTCAAAGGGAGCCTGATGAAGACGTATTTACCAAGATCATCTTTGACATCCACTTACTTCGTTTGACCTATCCTAAATCACATAAAAAATTGACACCCAGCCCCGGCTTAAGAACGGGAAATTTGTAGTGGATCGGGTAGTCTTACCTGAAACGCGATTTGGTGTGGCCCGGAGTGCTCCTATTCTCACCTGGGGGGGGGGGGGGGCGGTTTGGTGTGGTCCGGAGTGCTCCTATTCTCACCTGGGGGGCGGTTTGGTGTGGTCCGGAGTGCTCCTATTCTCACCTGGGGGGCGGTTTGGTGTGGTCCGGAGTGTTCCTATTCTCACCTGGGGGGCGGTTTGGTGTGGTCCGGAGTGTTCCTATTCTCACCTGGAGGTCGGTGGATTACCCAACTGCACGTAATGCCGTTTGGGTACTGCTCCGGGTGTGTAGGTGAGTTAATGGTGCCTTGTTGGTCGACCAGAATCCCGCCACATTCTGGAATAGATTTCGCATGTGTACTTATGTCAGCGCATCTTTCCTGTTCCAGAGAATAGAGCAAGAAAAGGACGGGAAGGCGACGGCATGTATATGCATTCATTTAAAGATCACATTTAGCGCTCAGTACTTTTCGACACGATAAGGATAGTGCTGCGTCCTCTAAGAAGCCACGTGTGGTTTTATTTCCAGCGGATCTAAGCTCTGCGTTATAGCTAATGTGGTATGCAAGGTTCAACGATAGCTTGTTAGCGTTACCAGCGATATGAATGGCGGAGTCAGCCAGGCCGGTGTGGTTGTCAATAAACGGATTGATGAAATTTAGCTACCTCCGTCATGCTTTCTTCCAGGACCATCTTGGCTCGTCTTCACGTTTGTGCAGCCAGGTCACAGAGTTGGAAGTGTGCAGCATTACAAATTGCAAGAATCACGAGGAAAACGACTTTTTTGTTTCCGACGTTGAGCTATAATTTTAGAACGATCATTCTTTGGTTGCTCTATTCGGAATCATCGCTATCAGTCAGCCACGGCCGTTGGCTTGGTGGCGGCCGTGCCGTGCGCAAAGATCGAATGGTGCAAGATGCCATTTGTTCAAATACTAGTGAATGAAACACAATCCAGGTTGGCTTGCGCAATTGCCGCATGCGTAACAACTACTTAATGCTCCCACGTGTTTCTTACCGCGAAATACTGCCTAACGATATAGCTTACTTTAATTTAGCACGCAGTTAAAAGATGGAAAGCATCGGTAAGGCAAATCAGAAACATGTCGCGATAATGTTAGTCACAGATGCAAACAGCGCGATGTCGTTAACACCACTCCATGTTGCGAAAATGCCGCTTTGCTGCCAGAAGGAACTAATCACGTGACTTCGAGGTATGCGTATGATTACGCTTGCACAGTCTTTGTGCTACGACTCCTAGTCTGATATTTGAGCAAAATTTGGGTCCGATGCACCGAGAACGGAGCCGATGAGGGGCGGCGAGAATGACGCGCTTTGTTAAAAGTGCGTATCCGCTCATTACGACCCAGCAGTCCGAGCCGTGCTGCTGCACCACCATACTGCCACTACGATCCCATCACAAACCTGTGTCAATGGAAGTGAAGTTGGCCAGAAATCCCCGATTGTGAACGCTGCCGTCGGTGACGAACAGGATGTACATGTAGTTGTGCCTAGATATCAGAGTTGGCGGAGGCTCGTTACAGAACTTCCCCAACGATGGGAAGGAGGAGTCTCGGCCATCAAACACCTGGAAAGAATGCAGCGCTTGGGTGGCCGAGTAATGAGGCATGCCTTGCAACTCGGCACGAAAACCTACACTTATCGGGTGCCAGCAGATCAATGGACGCGATCGCTTCTTGATGAACGGGGTGAGCTTCGCCCTGGTACGAGACCGAAGCGCGCTGATTTCGGTAACCTGCCACGGACGACGAGCGGTACCAGCACGTGGTCACGATCTTTCCCAGCTGAACAATAACGTAAAGGAATCAGCAACAGACGCATAATTATCGCTCAGGGATAAAACATTTGATGTGGAACAAACTTGGTTGACCATCAGCTTCGTGACGGTACGCGCCCCGAAAAACACACACATGAACACAGACGAACGGCCAGCGTAACCTCCAACTGGTATATAATGTCCTGGATGGTCAGCAACAGTGCAGTGAAGTGAACGTGAAGTTTCGATCGCTGGCTGCAGTAATGGGGTCAAATGAAAACAAGGCTTGCACCAGCGGAGCACTTCCTAGCATGTGCCCACCTCCAGGTAATCAAAGAAGCATGCGAAGCTGTTCTCCATAAGGAAGTCGTGGAACTGCAGAACGATGGCTCGGCCGGGCTCCTGTCGGATGAGGTACTCGCATCGCTTTCCGTGCGGGTAGTTCTCGGGGAAGTTAGGCGACCGGAGTACGCCGGACTCGCTGAAGAACACGCCGCCACACACTGGCGGCACGGAGAGGGCCGCCGGTCAGCGCGGTGACTCTGGACTCGGTGGAGAGCACGCCGCCACACACTGGCGTCACGGACAGCGCCGCCGGTCAGCGCGGTGACTCTGGACGAAGCGCTGCGGCGACTTCCGACCATCTAGCCCCACGCCCACACACGGGTCACGGGTCAGGCGCACAGGTCGGCGCAGGTCAACTGTGTCGACCTTCTCGACTTCTTGGCACAGGAACACCACTGGGCCCAAGACCACCACTGGGCCCAAGACATCCGGTCGCGACGGATTAGAACCGGCATGTGGTGCTTGGCTCATAGCATTATTACATGAACCCGAATATCGGTTGATGTTTGACTATCTGGCGTCGTTACATCGTCGGTGGGTGAGACACACGGCAGCGGGCCGACCAGCAACGGCAGCTGATCCATTCACTTGGCCCCGGGAGAGCGGCACTCACCGACGTCGTAGGTGGCCGAGAAGCCGCCGTGGGAGACGCTGTAGTCGGAGTAGAAGCGGACGTACAGCTCGTTGCCGGAGGCGGCGAAGGGCGGCGGCAACGTGTTGCGGCCGCAGTATCGGCCGACAAGCGGGCTGTCCGGGTCAGGGCCGTCGCGCACCTGTGAGATACACCATATGAGATACACTGCCGCCCCTGAGCACCTGGGGCAAGTCGCGCGTGCCGCCGCCTCTCAGCGCTTGTAAAGACGCGGAGCGTGCCGATCACGGCCATGCATCTGAATGCAAGTTTGGTCATGGTCATGCATCTGAATGCAAGTTTGGTCATGGTCATGCATCTGAATGCATCATGAATGTGTGTAGCTACTGCAAAATTTTAACGCAAAGCAGACGCAACGCAACGCAAAGCAACGCAGAGCAGGTGCCGAAATGAACCCATGCAACGCAGCACTTCATTAGTTGCGCATGATGTTTATGTTCACGATAACACCTGACAACCTCATGGCTTACGTAGATAGCAAGAAGAATGGAGTCAAAAGTGCAATCATATATTCTTCCGTTTTATCCACAACGGTGAATTTCGCCCGGAATATCAGACAGAACACACTCAGATTGCGAGCTTTGTACTTCACCCCCCTTCGGCCCCGAGGGCAAACTTCCCCGCCGCATTGGAGCCCACAAACCTCGACAAAGTCGAAGATGCAGTTGAAGCTGCCCTCCAGTTCGAAGCTATCGAAGACCAGCTGTACGCGTTCGTTCCCCGGTACGCGGATCCTCCACTCGCAGTCCATGTTGTGGTGGTACCGCTGCATGTGCGTGGGCGTGGAGAGGGTGCCCTGCTCGCCGGCTAGCTCGCCGCCGCAGCCCGGTATGCCTGTCGCAGCGGCCAGCCGATCACCCGAAGGCTCTTCAGCACACCGCCCCCGCGCCGGGAGAATCGAGAGGTGCTGATGACGTCATACGAACTGGGTGGACGGTTCGCGACCGAGCACGACGCCACGCAGTAAATTGGGTGGGGTTTGGTCCGTGTGTCTACCTGGGTACCAGGGGCACAGCCAGTCAGCATGTTCTGGGCCCTTTGCCACTGTTAGGCCTTTCCCTCGCATGTGTGTCGCTGGAAGAAACCCATCCTTTACCGACAGGCAAAAGTGTGGGCAAACGACGTCAGTTATGGCCGTCCGCCCCTTTCTCGACTGGTATCTGCAGAAATGTCCGAAATGCCTTTAGTTGAATGCCTTTTTGCTGAAGGCATTTAGCCGAATGCCATTTTGTCGACGCATCTTTTTGTCGCCGAGTGAAATGATTAAGTGGAGGGGCAATTTCCCGACATTTCGTTGCCGATGTGTCAAATTTACGAAACGTTAATCGCCCGCAATGTATAGTTACCGCGTTCCAATGTGCCGGAATGTTCTAAAACAAAATGTGTATTTATCAGAGCATGTTTTAGATGAATGCGAAATGTTGACGTGTTTGTTGTTGAAATGTTGAAATGTTGAAAAAAGTCGTCAACTAATATCATGAAATGTTTTTGGTGAGGGGTAGTCCTGAAACAAGTGTGGGGTCTTTGCCACTGGTCGACCTCTCCCTCACAAGTGTTCCCATGAAAGACATGCACCCTCTGCCCGGAGTCAAAAGCGCTGTTAAACTACGTCACAATATTAAGAGCTTTGAATCAGTGTACTTCAGCAGTGTACGCCAGGCTGCATTGTGGCCGTCCCTCCGTTTCTCTGTACATTGTAGGTTTGGACTCACTTGGTGCAAAGGTCTGTGCTCTTTTTACGTAACAAGGTTGCCATACAGCACCCGGTGGCGCACTCGGGGCTTGACCCAGCGCAGGTCTGGAGCAAATCGAGCAAAGGGGCCAAGCGTGGACCCGCTATTCAAGTGTCACACACAGAGTCCATGCGGTGGCGCCCGGTCTTCAGGCGGCCGCTGCGGACTCGGCGGCGTCTGGCGACGGCAGGCCACTCGCCTGGGATCTGGGAGTAGGTGATGTGGAAGCCCTGGTCGGCGCTGCTCTGGTCCGTGTGCAGCCGGAGCCAGGCGAACGGCCCGGAGGTGGTGAGCGGCCGCGGCAGGGTCGTGCTGCAGTACCGCTGCAGCACGTCCGCCGTCTCCGAGTACCCATCGCGCACCTGTCAGACGGGGAGGGACACGTTGTGCCCGGCACTGTGGGTTAGCACAGGGCGTAGCACCGCATGAGAGTCATCGCTTGTTTCATCGTGCGATGTCATGCATGCACGTAGCTAAATTTGTCTTTCGGGGGGGGGGGGGGGGGGTGGGGGAGGAGACAGGGGGTGAAAAAGTGTTATTTCTGTCACTGACTAAATTTGAAGCCGTCTAACTTGTCACCGGAGTGAAATTTTTCAGAAGCCCTTGCACTCTATCTTTGAATGCGATAAACCAGCAAAACAACAAAGGTAAATTAAATGTAATGCGAGATAGCCTTCAGACATTTTCGAGGATGCGGAGAGACGTCAGAACTCCCGCGAAATTCCTGCCAAATAAGCCGACATATAGTGTAGACTTCTTGGTTCAGGGAGGCACGTGGTCCCCCTGACCCCCCTCTAAGATTCCTTCCTCATGGCATGGGTAAATGCATATTTTTCGGAGTTGAAGAGGCTGATGCTGGGTTTTAGCGCACTACGGGAAGGGATGCCACGTGTTTCCCAGTTCTTGCATCCTTGCTTCAGGGGCGCGATCGAAGCCCCTACGAAACGCACCAAACACGGCCAATAGCAGGGCGGTAGCTTTAGAATATGCCCATACTTGAAGACCTTCAAAACTGCCAACAGCAACTCACTTGCAATGGTGCCGTCAGAGATTCTAGACTGATGACCACAGATGCAAGGTAAGGGGTCAGAAAGGGTGCAGAGCCGGAAATCCCCGATGGCATATCCCCACTTTCGGCGGATTTCGGAAAAGCTTCTGAAACTAGTGGGCTTCGTTTTAGGGCAGTGGCATGTTGTCTCCCTGTCCTCCCTGCCTTGCCCTCCATGCCTTTATTCACTAGAGCACACCATTTATGCGCTAAGATGTGGAGTCTAGAAATGCGCCGCAGCAACAGTTAAAATCGCACGTCAGAGCTCAAATGCTTATAACTTGGTGTTCTTGGCTGCCGGATCTTTGACCGTCCGTGACACTGATCTCGTGATCCTCAACTTCCCCGCCATCCGTCGACGCCTGCGCAAACCCTGCCGGCATCCGACAGGCGGCGACTTGCCTCCAAGTAATCGTAGCTGCAGTTGGGGTGCGTCTCTAGCTTGAGCACGGCAAACTGGAAGCGAAGCCTCTTTCCGAGCGGCGCGGCCACTGTCCAGACGCAGTCGCGGTTGTGCGGGTAGCGGCCCGGGTAGCCGGGCGAGTTGATGCTGCCGTACTCGTCGACGAGCGCCCCGCCGCATACTGACCGCAAACCGAGGGGCGTCCGGTCAGCACGAGGTCACTGCCTGGCGCATTGCAAGTCCTGGTCATCGCTTTCTCTCCACTTGTATCATTTTACCAGCTTGTCCTTACCTTTTTAAATATATCCCAAAGGCCTTCCCTGCGCGACCTATGCCCATTCTCTTGTTTTTTCCTCTTGTTACCTTCTACCCTCTGATACCGATATGTTATTATCTGCCCTGATTCCCCGCTCCTTTTCCCACTTCTCACCTACCCGCCCCTTTTCGTCTCCCTCCCTCGCTCCCTTCCTCTCGCGCGCCACACACCTGGATCGGAGGACTCGAAATTCATGGCGAAACCGATGTCGGTGACGCTGTGGTCGGAGCGGAACCAGAGGTAGAGCCTGTTGTGCGAGGAGACGATGGAACCGGCCCCCGGTGTGTCCTGACCACAGTAGCGCCCCAACAGCGGCGCTGCGCTGTTCACGCCGTCATGGATCTGCAGTCATGAGCACAGTGCAGGGTATTGACTTGGAAATAGCATGAAGACTCGATATGAAATGCTTCTATGGGCAAACCAGCAGCGCCTTCGTATCCCACGCGGTCGAGCAATCTGTGCGATGCATTTTTTTAACGTGCTTACCCTTTGATACATAATAATCTGACAGCATGGTGCCTACAAATAGCACAATGATAAGCACTGTTCAGACAAAAAAGGGGGGGGGGCGTATGTAGACACCCATGAGTCCGTGTGCTAAGAAGCTGTATTACAATAGCTCGCGAAGGATTAAAACTGAGCTGAGATGCTACCCAGAAAAAAACTTTGCGTGAGATATGTGTACCGCACGCACGATACTGCCTTCTGTGTATAATACTGCATGTCATTGGCCATGGTCCTGCTTCAGCAGCCTCGGTGGGGAATATTGCAAAGCAGCATGGCCGCTGTACCCGCTCCCGCTCTGCATAAAAATATCACCTGGAGCCAGTCGTAGCGGCAGCTGCCGCTGGAGGGCTCCAGCTGGAAGCGCGTGAAGGTGACGTTGAGCACCTTGTCAGGCGGCGCGCGGATCAGCCAGGCGCAACTGACCTCGTGCGGATAGGTGACGCCCATGTGTGGGAAGGAGAGGGCGCCGGGGCTGTCCAGCGCGCCCCCGCACGCTGCCGCACAGCGCAACCACTGGGGTTAGTTGCAAACGGAGGCATAATACAGTATACAATACAATGTGGGTGTTGCCTCTAGTCGAAAGGCTGAATGGAACGGCTGTCTCTCGATCCCGTTATCCTTTTCTGAATACGAAGTAAACAGGAATCATTAACGATTGTTCGCGATTTATTGTCAGAGGGATAAATTATGATTTGATGTTAAGTTAAGAAAGAACGTGATCGGGAACACCAGTACTAGCGATCATTTAAACCGGGATCGCAGCAGACCACTAGCGGCATTGCACTGCACTGATTGAGATGTCGTGGTGGTGGCATCATCGGCCTTGCGCCTGAAAATGATGGTGGCTTTAACAGTACCTGGCGTGACTCTTGGACCGGCGGCAGCGGCTGACTTACACTGGGACGGACTTAGACCTGACTAACTTACACTTCCTGCAGTGGCGGCGGCGGTGGAACCTACCCTGCTGACGGGTCTGGCAGAGCGGGCCCGTATAGTCGCCGCTGCACGTGCAGGCGAACGAGCCGACCGTGTTGGAGCAGGTGGCACCGTTCTGGCACGGCGAGCTCTGACACTCATTAACGTCCATGTCACAGCGGGCACCTGAGAAACGGACGCGATGACACGTCTTTGAGACACTAGCTGCTGGACTGCACAAATACCCACGGGTACTAAGCACAACGGCGGCCCGCGGTATTATACGTGTGGGATGATATACAAGGTAAAATAGTGCAAACCTGTTTAGACATCCTGGGTCATGCCTTCGTTCATGCAAAGCAAGTATGGGAAACAGTGGGTATCAACAGTTTGCGCGTTTCCTTCCCCCCCCCCCCCTCTCTCTCTCTCTCTCTCTCTCTCTCTCTCTCTCTTTCTCTTCCCCTAATCCCTTAGGGTAAATATTGGCAAATTTAAAAGGAAGAACCTGACTGGCAAAACAACGGACCGCGCTATCGACGTTGCTCTCATTCACGCAAAGCTACGTGTCCGATCTGTTACGGCCATTCATTCAAGTATGCCTCGTAGGAGGAAATCTTCCGTCCTCATCGCTAGTTAGTAGTAACTACGTGGTAATTGTTTTATGCGTAAAATTTGTATGTTTGATACACGCCAATTTCAAGACATCGTAATTTTACATGCGGGCTGCAATTTGCAATCAGTGTAAATCAAGCAACAGTGATATGGCATGCATTGCATATAGAAGCCACAAGCATCTGCACTACACTTGAACACATCTAACGCGGAGGCATACACAACCATGAACAAAAACGGCAGAGCAAAACGGGGGTCTTCCAGAGTAAACTGCAATGCTTAGTGCCTAAACTAATGTTATTTTGCAGTCCCTGCATTACGAGCCTGGATGGCCCGCGCGGCCGTCACCTGTGTATCCGGGCGGGCACGTGCAGATGAAGCCAACCGGGCCGTCCACGCAGGTACCGTGCACGCACGGCTGAGTGGCGCAGGTGACGCCGGCGGCGCCGGAACGCGGCACGCAGCCGGCCGGGCCCAGCCCCGAGCCGGCGTACCCCGACGGACAAGTGCACTGCACATGACTGGCCGATATCGCTGTAATTGTGGAACACGGACACGCGTGACACCTGCACACTGATGATGCTGCACTGCTGCATTATCATTCTTGGCGAGCATATGCTGCCGACCGCATGGTATGAAAGGCCAAATCAAAAATGTAAGAAAGGATGATAGTTCATATGGTGGCGACTTGGCATTGAAATTCAGCGTCTAGTTCTTGTTTCATTTAAAGTACATGCATTGTTCGTTGCAAAGAAACCGTTGGTTTGCTCAGGTACGAAAAGTTTGACCTCCGGCAGTCAAATATCCTCCTTGCCACCGAAAACGCCACACTTCAAAAACAATGCTTCCAGCCAAGGCCCCAAACCCAGTCTTTAAGCCGCCGCACCACGCCGCGCCTTCGTGGGACCAATCCGCTCATGTGCATTGCCTTGCAAAGGCCATGCAGCAAAGCATGCGATTTAGCCCGGTCGACCGGACGGCTGCAAGGTCAAATTCAAGGCGAAATAACAGGGAAACAGTGTACTGCCACCCTATGGGAATTGTGTAAAAACATGGGGACTCTACAGGAAACTTTGCCTCGTTCCAGCCTGGGCTGTGATAAACCGCATTCCAAAGTCAACTTCCATGGTCAAAACCAGGGTCGTCATACTATGGCTATCTTAGTAGTGACGCCGTACTGCGGCTGTTTGAGCACGATCTGCTCAAACACGGTGCATTGCTATTCTGGCCTGGAACGTAAAAAATAATTCCTCAGGGTCAATCGAAGCAGTCAGTAAACCAATCAATGCACAAAATTCAAACTCAAAAGACATATTGCCCTCTATGGCGGCTGTGTGTGGATAATCTGCACAAGTCTAGCGTGGAATGTTCAAAATGCGTAATTCAGGGTTTACCTCCATTATTCATCTGCAGGTCCAACGACGGGGCCACGCCGTAATGGCGCTCTAAAGTGCTGATGTTAATCAATGGGGCGTGCCTTAGAAGTCAGCTGTCCACTTTAATCAGGCCTTTCAACAAAACACTTCCCACGGACAACCTGCAAGTGACAGTTAATTTAAAATAACTGGATGATATCACACTGCCCCAGTATGGAGCCGATCAATGCAAACGTCATGTCATTTGAAGGCCATATCTATTCCACCTAGGTTGTTAAAAAGGCATAATCAAGGACGATGTCCAAATCCAGTCTAGAGGTCAAATGGCGTGCTAGCTGAGTGCTGTCGCTGTGTATGAATGATTGGCGTAAATAGGAGGCCACAAAAACCCAGGTATATTTTCCAGCCTAGGCGATTAAAAAGGTGCGGACAAAAAACAAGCTGCAAGGTCATGCCAGTGTCAAAAAATGGAATAGTGCCGCCCTACCGATGTATAGTACTAATGTGCCCGACTGAGGCGCCATTTAAACCCCAGACACCAATTCCAGCTCTGGATAACAAACTTCAAGCTTCATGTTTCATCGCTCCGGTCAAAACGCCGCAAGCTTCAAATTTCCAGGCCAATGGTCAGAGTATGCCCTCTAGATAGCATCAGAGTCTTCATATCCCCTCTATGAGACTTTTCTTCAGAACTGTGATGCATTATAAAAGCTAAGCTTTCATCTTAATCTGGTCGTTAAAAGGTGCGAATCAACGTCGACATTCTTTGCACGTGATGTATTTGTACCAATCGGTCTCATTGAGCGGCAGGACTATGCTATCCGGGAAGTCCACCTCGTTTTGATATAAGAGCACTCTCAAAGAGCCAGTTGTCGTTTCCCTCTGAACCGTTAGAAAAACAGACAAACTACAAGATCTACCTTGAAGACCATGTGCAACGCAAAAGGACGGAGTAGCAACGCACTGCCCATGCAATGTACCCATCTGTGCGATGGAGGTGTTTTGAAAGGCGGAAATTCATTGCAGAAATTGCATTATCAAAGTCATCACTTTGGTTCAAAAGCTATAATTCTCAAACTATTAAATCATAGGACGCAGAGAACTGTAGTGTCGCTTTATGGAACTGACCTAAGCGTCATGTGAAAGTTCGATATCTATCCCGGTCGGGGTTGGCAAAATTTAATAAGTAAACACTTGTTCGGGCCAAAAATCCCAAATTTATGTTTTGAAGGTCTGTGAAAGGAGCATGCCGGAATTGGTACCATTTGGGACCCATCTCGGTATGCTTTGGAAAATATCATAAATACTATGAAAAGCCAGCATCATTTTGATCTAGACTGGATTCTCAAAAGCGCCCAATGTGAGGTCAATCAGGAGACATATATTGCAGGTTAAATGACGGCAAAGCACGAGATTGCCGCGACATGGGACTGCTCAGCATCTTAAAGGCAGGTATCCATTTCAGTCCGTGTCGTAAAAAAACGCACTCCAAGATGAACCCTCAGGGTCACATACCAGTTCAAAGGACTAGGCTCCATAGTATTGTCCACACATGGGCCGATTTACACAATGAATTGTTAGTTGAAAGTCAGCTACTCCCTTCAGCCTGGTCTGCACAAGCGTCACGCTTCAAGGTACATTGCCCTGGCAAAAAAAAAAACATGCAAAAAGGCTTCAGGTCATGAGATTTGATAGCCCCATGTTACGCAAGTACACCGTAGATCGATAATGCTGCGCTACTCCTTCCTTGTCATTGGTTATGACTTTGCAGATTGACTTAGAATGCGCTCTCGTGGTAGTACGTATTACGTTACGCGAGGAATGTGGGAGGGCGGTGTTGGTAGAGAGCACCTGAAGTGCAACAAGGGTGAAGGGGGTTGACAGCATAACGTTACGCTCAGGTGTGGCCCAAAACTATGCTGAAATGGTTGCAAAAATGTTTTTGGCAGTGTAGTTAGCTGGTCTCACCCATTGTAACAAATGACTAACCACTGAGGAGCAGGGTTAAAAAATTGGCAAAATACGTGACAATTATGGACAAAACCTCGGCCAAGGCTGGGAAGGTTGCTGGCAAGGGTGGAAAGGTTTGCACGTAAGATGCTATTTGTGCTAGTCTGCCTAATAAGGCGGCACGCCTATGCTACTCTTCATTCTACTTTCATTTTGAACTTGAAATGCAGCGTTGATTTGCGCCTGTTTATCGACCTGAGCCAGAATGGATTTCTGACTTTCAGACCACACCGCATTTATGCACAACGGCCCTTGCAGTATAAATGCGACGTTAACCCGTACTAGGACGTTTAGTTTGGCGTTTGAGCCTTTTGACAGGAACGTTGTTCCTTGCCGTGCTATGTCGCACAATCTCAGGCTGGAATGAATAACCAGGGTTCACATGTCGCCCTGTTTGTGCAGATCGGCCGATACAGCCACAGTACGGCGTTAACCCGTGATTGGACTGAGATGTGATCTTGGAGGTTATCCCGGCTAGCAGTTCTTGACAGCCCAGGCTGGAATACAATTTTTGGCTTTCTGACATCCTACGCGTTATTCATGCAGTACTACTTCGTTATCATATCGTAATGTTGGGGATGGAGGCATCCTCCAATGGGCCGTTCTGAAGGCATTGCTGATATAATTGATGAAGGCTTTTCATAGTATCTTGCTTGTGCAGACCAGTTCATATTGGGGCCGTGTGACGCTATTCGTACCATGGTCATCATGTGTTTGCTTTAATACGTGGTTTGAGCTTTATTTTGAGATTGACGGTTAGCCCTGGAATCCTTTTTGGGCTGCCTGGATTGTCATGTATACTCGGGTCTTACATGACATCCCCAAAACGCTATTTTGCAGCGTTTTCGCTTGACCACATTTTTTGGCCCCTAGGAGATACATTATTTAGAGAACAGTGAAACGCAAGGCATGTTCGTAAATAATGTAGCTCTGTACTTGATAGTGTCATGCCCGACGAAATCGGGGCTAGACGCTGGATTCGAATACGAATGAATGCTCTGCTAACTTAACTGGCGTGCAAAAGGGCACGAATATGTGCGACAACGCGAGTGGATTCAAAACCTCTGGAACAAATTGGTGTTACATTGACATCATTTGCATTAGTTTGAAAATACCTGCCTGCGGCGTCACTGAACGAAGCACCAAACAACAGGTAGTGACGCATTCAATCATGACCCTAGTACCCCCGGATGCAATATTTACATACACTATAGATATAAAGGTATCATATAATGATGGCATATATATATATATATATATATATATATATATATATATATATATATATATGTATGCATGTATTCATACACATTTTTATCATGAATAATAATTATAGGCATCATCTATATGATACTGACAGCATTATATGAATATATATATATATATATATATATATATATATATATATATATATATGCAATTTACCTATGCATAAATTCATGCGATTATCACAATACCACCTGAGAGATAACCGGGAAACAGTAAAATAAATACACCAAGCGAGAATGATATTCCGCGCAACTATTCCATCCGTCATACTAATGTTTCGTCTCAATCCTTCCGTAAGACTAACATTTAAGTATTGTGAGTTTTACCAGCTGTCTCTCTATGATGCGTCGATAACGTTGAAATATTGAACGCCGAAGCAATCAGCTGTTTTCGGAAATCGAAGTAGCCGGCAATATTCCTTTGTTTGACCACCTATGTGCCTGCCACGCCTATGCCGGCCGCCCCTGACTAACCTGGGTTGTGGTAACACTGGGCGAGAGGGTGGCATCCGCCGTTACCGACACCGCAGATCCCGCCCGCTGCTACGCGGCAGACCACTCCGTTGCCTTGGTAACCGGCTGGGCACGCCCCACATCGTCGCCAGCCCTGTGACACACAGAGCAGGTGTCGACGAGGTTTACTGAGCAGCGACGGCGGGCATGCCGCGGAATAGCATGCACAACAACCTGTCTAGCGGGCAAGAGCTGCGTGGTGGCGAATAACATACCAATCCACCCATTTAGCTAAACGCCATGGTACCAGGGTCGTAACCAGGATTTTGTTCTGTGGGAGGGGGGAGCGGCCGAGCTCGGTGAGTATGCGTCACGACGATTTTTTTAGCCTTCTGTCGGGAGTCATCTATGGTTTAAACAAATCAATCTGGGCCTATTGGGGCAGGGACTTGGTTGCACCCCTGCATCGTACCACATCATCTATATGCTGCCGGTGCTTGCCTGCATGCTTTCTGCGGCGTCGGGCGAGCGAGGCGCTAGCAGATGTCAAGGCCGTAAGTGGTGCCAAAAAACTGAGCCACTGGAACCAAAAACTTCGACAACGGATAACGGCAATAGGTGTGACCGGTGCTTTAAAAGGTTGACCATTCATGACCATTGAACTAGAGGAGGTCCACTGATGTAAAATTTGCGAGTTAAGTCAGGAACGGCTGCTTGGAAATGGCAGACTATGAACATGGTCGGAATCAGCGATTGTAATCCTACATATCTAGTAGCAAAATACCTTTATTTTAGCCTGGTATGAGCAATAGTGGCTCTGAAAGACGTGTATGGTTGCAGCGAACGACATGAACAAGTGCAGCATTTTACCATTTTCGCAATGATGACCAAAACACCTGAAAACAGCACGATCGTTGGATATTTGTCCCTCAAAGCGGGGATACCAGTCTGTGTGAATATAATTGCCTGTCGTTTCGTTAGGGCAACAGCGCTTTGTATTCGAACTCGGCTTCGGACAGAGGGAAATTGTGGATATCCTGCCGATTGCTGACACGCCTGTGGGGCGGACGGCTTTTAGCTCATTAGCATTTGCAGTCGGCATACACAACTTCATGATTTACACCTGCAGTCGATTCCACGTCACTCTCTGCCCTAGTTGTTGAGATCCTGACATTATTCACTAAAAACTTTCCAAGCGAGCGGATCCACCCACGGTTGGCCCACGAGAGCGCGAGACCGGCTGCGCACCGCGACAAGTCCGTTTGCCATTGCCATTGACCGTGCTCTTCTCCGCCTCGATCTGTTGGTCTGGTGCCGCTGCGACCCCTGGCCGCCGAGATCTGGTGCGGTCTCGACCCGTGCTACTCAGCACTTCCGCAGATCATTGCTTCTTTTCATGTCAGCCGGATGGGAGGTGACGTCCGGGTGACATTGCAACGTCGCAAGACAGCTGAGTGATAGAACAGCTTGCATACAAGTTTCCAACAAGTAATATCGTGCGACGTATTTAAAATTGCACATAAGAATGCCGACATATGCAAGAACATGAGATGATCGGTTGGAAAGGCATTAGTTTTTAGGTGTGCCAGGCGGAGCCACTCAAGTCCCAAATGTTCTCATCATTAAAGTAAGACTGACTCAGCGCCACTGAGTCAGCGGGTGGCATCGCTCGTGGAAGCAGTGGCATAGCATGCATGATAATGAACTGGTTGATTGCATATGTGTTCGTCATGCTTTCAAGCATCAGGCTAGGCTAGATGGTGGTAATGCGAGTGGTCTTCACTGCTACCTGCTTATCAAGTGCCACTGTATTAGTATATCCAAGTATATCCATACCTCATCCACAAAACACCTCGCATAAGCATTATATGTATATGTACATGTATATATATATATATATATATATATATATATATATATATATAGCAAATTATCGTCCATAAGAACTGCATGCGAAACACGAGGCATGTCTTCACAATATATGTAAGCTCTCTGGACAGCATGCACCTTCAAGCATTTGTGCCCTTACCCTTGTGTTAAAGCAGTCCACCATTGGATTCATGCTGCAGCCACCATTGTACTGCAGGCACTCGTCCACATCCGTGCAGGAAAAACCATTGCCCGTGTAACCTAGAACAGCGTGCGTTGTGAAGCGCCACACACATGCGCTGGTGATCAGTTGCTGTTCATGGGCAATGCAGTACTTGCCAGCAGCACCTGCGTTCACTTAAACTGAAATCTGTCGGACTGGAAAAGCTTACTTGTTATACGCAAGGAAGAGCTTAAGCTGGTTTTCCGGACTTGCGAGTTGGGAATTCTTATGTTGAAAAAATAGCATTCCATGTACCAAGCGGTACTGGTTAAACGGCTTTATCAAGCAAGCCTTGGCTTTTTTGAGACGCAAAGCAATGTTTTTTATGAGTGCTGCCAGTGCCTTCTGGAATAAAGAATCTTGATTTGTTCAGCATAGAAACTCACCACTCATAGCGCTGAACAGATGCATTCCACCAGAGACATATGATGTCTCAATAGACAATAAAATAGGACAGCCGCATGTTCTCGCAACGTCGAGCACGAACGTTATACAAGCAGTTCCAAGAACAATTAACACAGACGATACAGTTATTGAGAGAAAACAAAATATTTACACACCTGCGTGATGTCCCTAATTCTAATTTCGATTCTGTTCGCTATGCTATGACCGCAGGCCAAAAACGACCATCTTGCGATACAATTTTGACATTTTAATAAAACGTATTTGACGTTTTCTTCCGTCATATCAGCAAGATTGCTGCCTTTTTGTTGCTGACGACGTTTAAAGTCGGGCCCGAACACCTTCATTGATCACTATTGATCACATTAATGTGCTGAGACTCGTACTTTCATTGAGCTGTAGGAACCAGCATCGCTGATAGGCCTGCTGCGCCGGACGGTGTCTGTTGTGCTGTGCCAGTCAGTGTCCGGTGTGCTGTGTCAGTCAGTGTCCGGTGTGCTGTGTCAGTCAGTGCCCAGTGTACTGTGCCAGTCAGTGTCCGGTGTACTGTGTCAGCCCAGAGTCTGTGTGTTGTGTCACGTAGTGGCCGGTGTGCTGCACCGACTAGTGTCGGTGTCCTGTGCCGGTTTGCATCCGGTGTGCTGTGTCAGTCCGTGTCCGGTGTATTGTCTCAGCTGGTGTCTGTGTGTTGCGTCTATTAGTGACCGGGGTGCTGTATCGATCAGTGTCGGTGTTCTATGCCGGTCTGCGTCCGGTATGCTGTGCCGGACAGTGTCTGGTGCACCCCACCTGCCGGACAGGCCCCGCAGCGGAAGGAGCCGGGCGTGTTGATGCAGGGCACGGGCGGATCGTGGGAGCAGGCCGGTCGGCTGTCGGCGCACTCGTTCACGTCCTCCGTGCAGGCCGCGCTGTCACTGCCCGAGGCACGCCGCCAGCCCTGCGGTATGGACACGGTATATCTACAGTTGCGATAGGGGTCAGCCGCTGGCCACTGACGGCCGCCTCATAAAAGGCGACATACGTTTTAGACGAGGCATGGGCGCCATGTTGGGTTCTGTCATGACATTTACGAGACGTGATTAATCTAAGAAAAGCTTCCTCCATTTGAAGATATTGAGCTAAGCAGCAGAAAGGAAGAAAAAAAGTTTACTTGTTAATATTGGTATGATTTCAAGTGCAAAACACCGTTCAAAACAACCAAATTTCACTATTCAGTAAATGTGCTATTCCAAAACGTCATCGTTTGACTACCTCATGGCACGTCTTGATGACGTCGAAGTCGTTGCCAGACTGGCCGTGTAAGAAATACTACTGTAGCGGACCCGCTCAGTCACTTGTAGTACTTCAACTCGCCGTAAGGCGGCTTGTGAATGTATGCGTGTGAGCTATGCCGTCGATCATTATGTGCGCGTGTGCTAGCTCTTTCTCGTGGAGTGCTTGTATATTTGTCCGTGATGGCATGCTTTACTTGCATTTGCATTTTCTGTTACGGCGCCTTTCTCGACTCATTCTTTTGACAGCCTCACGCCCGTCAAAACAAATAAAACTGCTCAAATGCCTGTGTTATGCATCACAAAACGTGGTTTTTGTTTGAAACTTACATTTACCACGTTAAGCTTCATGAAACCCCACTGTTGACGGTTAATGCGACGAGTAGTGCTGACGAACTCCAAGCACGAGTAAGTAGATGGTCGTGCTTGTCATGATTTTGAATACAATGTGGTCATCGTGGAGGAGGAATTCGTACGACGTTGCTTTGACGTCACGCATCTCTGGCCGACTTCAAATTTGGTGGCGCAAAATAGTTCGCACAAATTCGTTTACGCCTGGCTTAGACACGAGAGGCTTCGAAACCTTACAACGGGCATAACTGTGAACTGCAGGGAATGATCTTGAAAATGGCTTCCGCAGTTCAAAGCGCCATATAAATATGGGACAGCCCCTTTAACTCGTAAGCCAGTAAATTGTATCGCATTGGTGGGTCACACAAGTGTTAACTGCACAAATTAATGGCTAATGAAGGACGTTAATCCTCTTTGACATCTGGTCGGGACTGGACAGCATTATGATGCAAAGGGCATGCGCACTCATATCGTTGTATTCTGTTTTTGCTCCTACTGTACAAGCGTTGGGGAATACAAAAGGTAGGGAGCGGTGGAAAAGTGTTTCCAGCCACCAAAGCTGAGCATCTGCTGTCTTCTAACCCACCTGTTCGCAGATGCACTTGTGGCCGTCGGCCTGGCTGACGCAGGTGCCGTGGCCGCAGAGCTGGCGCTCGTTGGCACTGCTGCAGTTGCTGGAGCGCTCGGTGCAGCGCTGGCCGTACCAGCCTGACGGGCACTGGCAGCTGGAATGGCAGGCCTTCACTCAGCGTCCCGTCCGGGATCGGGCCGTATAGAGTCTGTCTGAGGCTCAGGCTAGACATGTCCAGTTGCTTAGTGCGATTTTAGTCAGGACTGAGCTTTGTTCGTCTTCGTGGCACCATGTTTAATATCAAACAGCGGCGAAGCTACGATGGCGGTTGGGGCAAATGGGGATGGAGCCGCTCCCATCCCTAGCCCGGAGGAGGCACCCCTGGGTTGAATATACCACCCCTCCGATATAATCGTCGCACCCAGTTAAAAAAACTCTTTACACTCCGTTACTCTCGGTATACTTAGCGGCTACTTTCAGCTGTACTGTAGCTTGCGTCGCTTTTGGTTTTACATTGTCTACTAACTCACTACATGGAAGAAAATTGCGAGTCCTGAATTAATCGGTACTTCTAAGCTTCAGTCGCAGAGAAGGTGAAGGTGAAGAAGGCAAAGCGTGCAAACCTCAGGTCGGTTTTGTGGCGTCGCGGTGATAAAACACGTGACTCCAGCTTGTTGAGAATGGCGGCCCTGGCTCTTAGGGACAGGGGTTATGAGACCGCTGGCCAAGCCCCTCCATAGGCAAATCCTAGGTAGACTGATGACACCATGCATGTAAAAACAGCGCTCAGAACAAAGCAAACATGTTCTTCAGAGTCCAAAGTTAAAGAATTTAAAACGCAAAGCTCAAACTGAAAAACGTGTGTGTTTCGTTGGTATAGAGACCTTTCGGCCAATGGTGACCATCTCAGAGTTGCGGACTGACTGGGTATGGAGATTGGTGGGGCAAGACTGCATGTATTTGAGAGTCCCCCGCTACTGAGACTTGGCCCGCACAAGGACCGCTCTCGGAGTTTGTGCGGACGCTAGGACGGGTCTCCCCGCGGAGACGCTCTAGAGCCCCTCGTGGCTGATGCATCAGCCACTTCCGGGTAAACGGAGATTGGCTGGGAAGCAGGCAGGAACGCGGATTGAGTAAACAGGGGTGGATGCATGCAAGGACGATCAGTCGCTGGAGCGGCACGGGCGATAAAGGTTGCTGAGACACCTATAGACGCTGTTGTCATTGTCATTGGGGCTTAACGACGCACTCATATGCGGAGGCTATATGGTGTTGCCTGCCTCTTATCCTGGCAGGAGGAGCGAGCACCGCGGGGAATCGAACCCCGTATCTCTGGTTTCCCAGACGCACAGGGGTTAACGCAGATGCATTAACCACTACACTACCGGCGCCATAAACGATTTTAGCCATGCTGCTGGATTCCAATGCATTGGCATCACATCTACAGGTCAATGACGTGAAGACAGTTAGACAAATTGTCAAAAGGTGTCATGGAGATGACGGCTGAACTTATCACCTCGCCCCACGTTCTAGCGGTCATGTTACTGATGTCCATGCTGCAATTGTAAGTTTCAGATAATTGATGCGCAACCTATTCATGGGCAGACGGGCTAACAACAAAGACGCTGCACAACCAGTGAGCCCTCAGTGACCAGGCCTTCGCTGAATCACTGCTCGGAGCGTTTCGCTCACACTCTCACAGTGGTCGTCACCACCAGAGGCGCTCGGTGCGGCCTGATGCGAGAGCTGTCCCACCTGAATGCGCCGGCCGTGTTGCTGCACGTGGCGCCGTTCTGACAGCCCAGATCCGTGCCGGACAGCTCGCTGCACTCGTCCACGTCCACTTCACATGTGGTGCCCTTGGAAGCACGGTCACGGATACAGCGTGTTCACATAGCGCTTAAAACTAACGCTCACAATGCAACACTCGCATGTCCGATCCTGGTGCAATCAATTCGGCAGTTCTTTGTATGGCGGTATGCGTGCGAACGGAATGCCAGCACAGGGCCGAACGGCTGCGGGAGGGGTTGCCGGGAAGCGGAGCTGGCAGGGGACTTGCGTGCCGTCCATGTGGCATCTACTGCTTAAGAATGGCTAAACAAAAAGTGTGGAAAAACGAAGATAGCGGATGGCCAAGCTGTAGGCTGCAGATGGCGGAGCTAGTTCTTGCTTCTCAATTCCTCACAAAACGTTTCATATCATTAAACTTTCCATGAGTCGACGGGACATATGAATGATTCTTTAACAATTCGCCCAATTTTATCTGTAGATGAATGCAGGTTAAAACTGTTGCCCTCAGCCTGGATCTCCCCGCTTTATCCTCCCTCCAAGCAGTTAGCCAGTCTTCGTTTTGCATCCTTAGTCGCCCCGCTTCACTTAAGCTGGTGTATGGATCATCGAAGCACGTCGCCAAACCTCCTGAACTACACCTCGCCGGTCCGTTGCTTTAACCTCTGTTGCGTAACAGCACCTATGTCTGTTCCTCGCACATTGTACACCTGCGTACATACCTGCCAGTTGGGTGGGCACTGGCACTCGAAGGCGCCGTACATACCTGCCAGTTGGGTGGGCACTGGCACTCGAAGGCGCCATACATACCTGCCAGTTGGGTGGGCACTGGCAGTCGAAGGCACCGTACATACCTGCCAGTTGGGTGGGCACTGGCACTCGAAGGCGCCATACATACCTGCCAGTTGGGTGGGCACTGGCAGTCGAAGGCACCGTACATACCTGCCAGTTGGGTGGGCACTGGCAGTCGAAGGCACCGTACATACCTGCCAGTTGGGTGGGCACTGGCACTCGAAGGCGCCATACATACCTGCCAGTTGGGTGGGCACTGGCACTCGAAGGCTCCGTACATACCTGCCAATTGGGCGGGCACTGGCACTCGAAGGCGCCGTACCGGTCCACGCACGTGGCGCCGTTCTGACACGGATTGCTGGCGCACTCGTTTAACTGCAGCTGCTCTATCAGTCTCTGTAGGCCTTCCTCAAGAACTCGTACCTGTAACGTCAAACAGATATGAAAACTTATACATATTTATATATATATATATATATATATATATATATATATATATATATACATCGTACCATGTGTCACACACATCATAAAGTAGGTCTATCAGTCTGATGTGAGTACACAGATTCCACCATAACAGAACAAGAAGGATGGGTGATGGGTGAATGGTGAATGGTGGGATGGGTGATGGGTGAAGCTCCAGTTTATTCCCAGGCTTTTTGAAGCTGCTCGTTGTCGGTTGGTCAAGAGTCTGTCAAACGCATGCAAATAGGAATTTCACCAATTGTTTTGTCGGCTTTATCACGCGAACATGATATTCACCGTTTATACTCTAAAAGAATGCGTTCCCGCCCGAGGAATTGCTATATAAGGCGAAAATTGACCCAGGGCGATTCAGATTTAGCTATCATGGTGTTGTCATTCGTGTATGCCTGTACACATGCACATATATGTATATATGCGCATATATATATATATATATATATATATATATATATATATATACATATCTATATACATATCTACATATATCATGTGTAGATACATACATACATATCTATATAGATCATATACATACATATCTATATGTCTATATACATATACATATATATATATATGCATATATATACATATACATATATATATATATATATATATATATATATATATATATATATAGTCTCCTATTCTCAATTTATTCTGCTTTGGTTTAATCACAATCGAAGCTGTCTCGCTTATTTCTTCTCACCTGATGTACTTTACATATATTTTACGCCAAAGTTTAAGGGAAGGCATTGCAAAAAGTTTATATTTTCCTTGCACTGAGCAAAGAGTGTATTAGATCAAAAATGGGATTAACAACAGGGTTAGTTATTTCATTTACATGACGTGTTCAGGTGCGAGTGAGATATTGAAATGGTCTAATTATGTGACTTCATTTTTGTTGCCCGCATATAATCCCTGTGTCGCAACATCCAACCACTTCTCCGGACCTATCAGCCGCTTGGATGACCCTATTCACAAAAATTGGTAGCAATACGCATGATTTGCTTTGCTTGGCTTTTGTAGTTTGGCTTGTAAAGGAATTTTAATTATGAGGGAAAAGGGATCGAAAATGTTAGGGAATATTGGCTTTAGGTACCGCACGTTTCGCATGCGCGGGCACGAATAAAATCTGTGACACACGTTTAGCGCTGACAGGTGGAGCATCATGCCCGTTCCACCGAGCCCACCGGTCCTTGGAGACGATAACAACTCTGCCTCCCGCCTCTCTGCACCGGTCTGCTCTGGGCGGACCCCAGTGAAGAAGACAAGCCCCACGTCCCTCCCGACTCTTTGCACTGGCCTGCTCTAGACTTACCCTGGTGGCGAGGGGCGCGTTGTTTGCGGCTTGTCCGGGGGCCACCGGCTGCCGGTCCTGCAGCTGCCGGACGGCCCGTTCCAGCTGAAGCAGCCGCTCCGAGGGGGCACCGCCGCCGCCGGACACCGGCGACAGACCGTGCGTCGCCTGGCGCCGGCACGAGCGCGGTCAGAGCTCAGAAAAGGGGAGCGACGCCGCGCCGGCATGAGCGCGGTCAGAGCTCGGAAGCTGAGCGCGACGCCGCGCCGGCACGGGCGCGATGGGAGCTTAAAAGTGGAGAGCGAGGCTGCGCCGCAGACGGCGGGACGGCTGACGGCGGACGTTGTCGAAAAGTGATCCTGGCTGCGAGGGGGTAACCCGCTTTTGAATTCGGCCGTGCGGAAAACAAGTCATATGGAAAATTGGCCGTGACTTGTTAATCAATCAGCTGAGTAATTGAACGTGGCAGGATCTAGTTTCGTTAGGTAAGATGGAGGAGCTGAGCACTGAAAAATGACGTAACATCCCCCTCTCCCCCCCCCCTCCCGCCAACTAGATCGAAAGCTGCACCCCCGATGCCCGATGCAAGCTACATCCCACCCCTACACCCAAGCTACACCCTACACCCCTTGACCAATGTTGACACGTTGTGCAACAAGCCAAAAAGCCACAATGAATACCCCGCATTCTTGTCCAACAGAACGCCCCCAGAGGCGGTGTAAGGCAGCTGCGTGAAGTCCTACCCGGTCGACCAGGTCGTTGAGGTCCACTTGGTTGATGTTGACCCGGCCAGAACCCGAGGTCAGAATGGTGACGTTGCGGTGGAGGGCCGGGCGGATCTCCAGATGGCCATCCCGACTCACCAACCGGGGTCTGCCGGGGCGCGTCAACGCCATGAGCAAGAGCACACAAACGCAGACGCACGCGTGCACGCCCCCCCCCCCCCTTCCCCATACGTGCGCACCCATGCCCACGCACAACTCCACCTTCAAACTGGCGCGGAGGTTTGGGTTACGAAATTGAGTTTCCTCAGCTGTGGAATATTTCTGTCGGCTGCGGAACTGAAACATGAAACCAAACGGAGCTCACAATGTCCGGGTTACGACGCATGCTGCTCTGAGGACAAACGACACGGGGCGAGTACGCCGCGGTAGCCATGGGAGCTGATCTCTTGTCACAACTCAACATACGCAGCCCATGCGAGACTGTACAGCACACATTCAACCGGTGTTATTGGTTTCTACCATCCTGTACCAAATTCGACATGGCTTAGTCGTTGGCACCGAGGTATGCATATGCATATGCATAATGCATAGACATTGGCATTGACTGTACTGATATTGCGCGCATGTTCAATGTCATACTACAGTGTGCTACTAGCAGGTGTCGATTTGTATTCTTTTCGGTGGGCCATTATCCCCTCCCAATGTCCAGTCTGCCCCATCCCTATCGGCGAGTTTGCACCCCCCCCCCCTAGCCCAAGTATATGTAAAACATTGCAAATAGAAGCTCGAAATTGTAAAATGTTTCCAGAATGTTTTTGCTTATTGTTTCGAAGGTAACAGGACCAAAGATAATGAAAGCTGATATAATGTTCAGTTTAGTGCACAGGGCTAAATTAGTCACCTTTTTCAAGCTCAGAGGTCGTACCGTGTTTACTTGAGTTTCCCTTAGTTTTTTTCTTGCAAGCTGCATACTTTTAATCACACGATTTACATTTATTATCGACTATGGTCTAGTTTTGTGCTATTGCGCCAGTGTCTTGGCGTCATTCAGTGATATTGCAAGTTATATAGACCTTAGCAATATGTGTTATTTTGCCACGTCTTATCGAAAAATGAAAACAAGTCGTTATCAAGTTATCAACGTTCTACATTCGGAGTAACCCTTGAAAGGAGTTGACCTTTAACTCAACAGGAATATTCGTTGAAACAGTTGCAAAAACCCGGCAATCGACACCAGCCGGCTAAACCGATAGCGGCGATCATCCGACCATGACCACCAACACTAGCCGTGTCGAATTTTCCTAATGGGAATGATGCACCTACACCCCGCCTTGCGGTAATCAGTCGGGGTCTCCATGACAGACCTTGTTGGTCGCCGCCACTTAATAATACAAGCGGAGCTGACGGCGTGCGGCCTCCGGAGACTGCAATGCCGGGCGTCTGGGTTTTTGTTGTAAGAATTCCGAGCTCGTTTGGCCAAAACTGTGTCACGCAATTCCTTCACTGCCGGAGTCTCAACAAAGATAAGCATTATGAGACGAAAACAGGTGATGTGAGTGCAAATGTATGACCCATTTTGATATAAGAACTACTTTCATGTTTAAGTGCAATTAAGAAAAATTATGGTAGAGCCCCTGAGTGCTATCGGCTTAGAAAGAGTCTACTGAAGCATTACATTATGAATAGCGTTGGTGTGCTTTTTTCAGTTTATTGACTTCAAAACACAAATAGAATCGCATCTATCCTTGCCTCCTAACTTTCAAGAAGGGCAGGACTTCTGTCGAAATCAAGCGGGCCATATCGGGTGACGCTTTTATTTGGGTGGGGACCTTTCACTAGGAGGGGGACCTTGATCAACCCTGTGCCCCCCCCCTCCAATTACCATGATTATGGCTAAGTTTGTGCGTGGGTAACCTCGTAGAGCACCGAGTATGCACACGTAAGTATCATCGCATGGTAGCTGTAAAGTCAGCTCAACTAGAGACGCTGTTGCACCCTGCATTACATATAATATTGACATGACGGTTGTTTCATTTCTCACATGCTCGAAGTGAAGCGGATGAGGGCTGCTTTATCTGCAGAGGCACAACAGCCTGGAACACTGCCCCCCAAATGTATAGCTGGCTCGTAATTCGTGTTTATTCAAAAGAGCGAGAAGAGGGGATTCTCAACAGGAGGGCATCTGCGTAAGCGTATTGGCAGAAAGGTTGAAGACGGGGTTCTTAGATTAAGCCCAGAATTAACATAAACAGTAATCAACATGAATTCACTGCCATAAATATTTACTAAAATGCATACGTTTTATCGTTGAAATGTCCGTTTACCGAGAACTTACGTGAAAATGGGTTGTGATAGTCACAAATAGTGAGGAGCCTGAACAATCTATTCGTGTGAATGGATGAATAAATACGTCACAAGTTATCTTAGCGCTTAATGGCAAATTATGCATCTTTCAAATTTTTCAGTATTCAAGAGGAAAAGAGTGGCATCTGCATCCCCCCCCCCCCAGCTTCGCAAAACAGGTGCCTTTATAAGAAGGTGATGCAATCTGCGAGGTGTCCATTTATGGCTTCTGTGGCCGTGCACATGTCCTCTGAAAATATGATGAAATAATGTCTGTATGCATATATATATATATATATATATATATATATATATATGCACACACACACATATATATTTATATAAAATGGATAACCAGAATACAAGGTGCGAAATCCGAAAAGTTTTTGGCCCGTCCCCTTATCACGACTTCCACGAATCTGTCCTCCCCAATAATTTTAGGAAATCGATACCCATGGTGCGAAGCGAGGTTCGAGGTTTGTTATGGCGGAATTAGCTACCACGACACCACATGTGATAAGATTGCAGGCAACAAGCAGTCTAGCATACAAAAGAAAATCCTGGAGCTTTCGATTTTCGGTGCCACGAGTTTTCTTATGCTGAAAATAGCCGTTGTCATCTCTTCAACAAATACTGGTATTCTTTACCTCCGGTACATTGGAGCTCGGGTATTTTTACCGTAGCGACCAACAATGGTAATAAGTAGCACTCTGCTTACAAGGAGAAAGTTTAGATGAGTTGATTTTCTGCACGTGAAATGTTGCCTGATATTGGGAACGGGAATAGTCAGACAAGACAGATCAGTCCAAAGACCTATATAGCATCAGACAGCAAAACGCCTGCCAAGCGTCCACTGGACGACATTTAACTGTATGATGTTGTCAAGCTATGATACGTTTAGCACTTTCATCTTGGCAGCAAACGCTAAAGCAAATGACCATAGAGCACATGTCCGTTGCATTAATTTGCAGTGCGAAATGTTTCGTGGTGCTTAGATGGAATGCGTTCTTCAACATGAGCTCCACGACGATCATCATCGACTCAATGCGCTTGTGCATTCGATCATTTTTCAAACCAGGTGACGCTATGTTAGTAAGTTCTGGATTGGCAATATTCTGCTCCAGTGCACGGCGCATTACTTAGCCCAATATTACATAGCTCAATGTTACATGGCCCAACATTGTATATATTCCTCTGCTTTGTGCGTACACCGCAGAACACATGTGGACAGACGCATAGATCGCGCGGCCCCAATCACATGATGTTGGGAACCTGACACAGGACATGCGGCGCGGTAGAGAAGGTCGAATGTTCCCAGCGGCGAAGGATTCTTTGCTGAGGTTTCTACCTCATACAGACATCACCAACTCACTGGTTAATGTAGGGGTCTTGACAGACGGCTAACGACAGAATAGCGCTGAACAGAAGCGCTCCACGCGCGGCAAACATCCTGTTGACAGAGGCACACCATAGGCATAACACACAAGGCACACATCATAGGCACAGCAGAGGCATACCGCTGAATGTCATATCAGTGTGCCGCGTAGCTGAGAGGCAGAGGAAGGCACGGCTTGGGGCAAAGAAAGGGGCATCGATCCTTAAATCAAAAGATATGCACAATAATAAGCCATCTACAGACAAAACACCGGCACATACGAATAATGACAGCCTAACCAAAGCAAAGACATGGGGCACACAAGCTCAAAACCCAGGGTCATGCTGCGCTGATAACTTACCTGCGAGCGTGGCCGCTGCAGCTTCCGCACCGCCTGGCAGCGGCTCGGCCAGGCTGCGCACTGGTGGTGGTGCGGCCGACACGGGCCGGCACAGGTGGGGGCGTCACCGGCGTCCAGCCAGCGCCGCGCGACACCCGACCCGCCGCCCGCCCCGGCCGCCTTACGTAAACCAGCGGACGAGCGTGGGGTAGGGGAGGCCACGGCCGGCTCTGACCCGTACTCTGCCGCGCACCAACGGTCAGGCAGCGCACGACCGTCCGGTCGGAGGTCGCCAGCGCCTTCTTCCCGCTGAGTTATCACGCATTGCGCATTGCGCATCCAATCAACCCAGGTGGCGGATTGCCATAAACAGTAAACTGTTCGTACTGCGGTGACGAAACATCTCTTATTGGGCTGGTAGCCATATAGTTCCAGTGTCAGAAATGCAGCGCGAGGACGACTCATTTCGCGTGGTTTCTTTTCGTACCCTTGCCACTACACTAGACACACATGAGCCATGATACGTGTGAGCTTCTCCATAAAACGAATAACACCACGATTCAGCATCACTATGTGACGACGGGCACGGATACATGTTATCGGAACGACTCTGTTCAGCACCATGCGAGTTCATGATGTCCAGTACCAGCAAGCAAGTACAATAAACATCACGTGCCGCACTTGCGTCCCGCGTGATTGTCATCTGATTTTACAGCACGCGCACGAGCGCCGTACCGCCCGAGACCGTCCACGCCACATCGGTGTGGGGCAAAACCCACGGGCGGGTGACCCCGCACGACATGCCGGCGATGCCTCGGGTGCACACTACAACACAAGAGAGAGAGAGAGAGAGAGAGAGAGAGAGAGAGAGAGAGAGAGAGAGAGAGAGAGAGAGAGAGAGAAGAGAGAGAGAGAGAGAGAGAGAGAGAGATAGAGAGAGATAGAGAGAGAGAGAGAGAGAGAGAGAGAGAGAGAGAGAGAGAGAGAGAGAGAGAGAAGAGAGAGAGAGAGAGAGAGAGAAGAGAGAGAGAAGAGGAGGAAGAGAGAGAAGAGAAGAGAGAGAGGAGAGAGAGAGAGAGAGAGAGAGAGAGAAGGAGAGAGAGAGAGAGAGAGAGAGAGAGAGAGAGAGAGAAGAGAGAGAGAGAGAGAGAGAAGAGAGAAGAGAGAGAGAGAGAGAGAGAGAGAGAGAGAGAGGAGAGAGAGAGATAGGTCTAAGCGTACAGCGCCGCTACAACGCTTGGCTGGGCGGCTGGCCCAGCTGCCACGAATCCTCCATCTGTGGGCTTCGATTTGTATTCTTTTAGGTGGGCCTCTTCCCCCCCCCCCCCCCACCATGTCGAATCAGCCCGCCCCCCCCCTCCCCCCACCCCACCCAACGGTGAGTTTGCCGCCCGCCCATTCTCTGGAGGCTAAGTACAAGCAAGGTATGGTAGTCATAAAATAGATAAATTCTAAAGAATGTTTCTTCTAATCGTTTCACAAGTGAAAGGAAGAACAAAAGCAATTTGCGATGTCATGTTCAGGCAAATGCAGTTCATTGAGCTAATCGCGCTTTTAAAGCTCCACGTCCCTATTCTGTTTACCTAAGTATTTTCTGCTTTACCTGCTTGCTGCAGGTTTCTAATGACACGATTTGTATGTCTTGTTGACTCTGGCCTAGTCTTGTGCCATTATCCGAGTATTTTGGCATTATTCAGCGATGTTTCAGTTTCTACAGACAGCAGCAAGTCACATTTTTATGGCGCGAAGTATTATCGGAAATTAAAAACAAACCGGTCGAATATTAGCTAGCACCTAAAAACGTGATCAAGTGTTTTTAACCATCCACGTCGGGAAAAACCTTAAAATCTGCGCTACCTACATCCGCATAATTTTGATATGACCCCTGATAGAAAACAGAGGGCGAAACAGCACTTCTTTTATTTGTCTGGTTCCATTAAGAAATGCCAGACCAGTTCACGGTACCGTAAATGTTTATCTGTTCCTCTGTAAATGCTAACAAATTGCACAGGTGAAGCATACCTTAAACAATCATCTATATGTAAGTACAAATTGACACGTATAAAGGCACTTCTCCCAGAGAGGTTATCTTTTTTGCCCTCTCGTTGGCCACCGTCTAGTGTTAGCCGCGAGCAGCAGCCGCGTGGCTTACGGAGACTGCAACGTCTGACGTCGGGGTTTTGTTCGAAGACTCGCGGGCCCGCTTAGTCCAAACTCTCGGCGCGAGCCGCGCGTGGCCGTGTGGAGTGCGGCGGCGCTGGCTCTACTCACCAGCTGTGGGGGACGGCTGAAACGGGTGCGTCGGCGACTGCGGCGTGCCTGGACTTTTTGTCGCAGGCACGCCACAGTCGCCGACGCACCCGTTTCAGCCGTCCCCCACAGCTGGTGACTGGAGCCAGCGCCGCCGCACTCCACGCGGCCGGGATGTGTAATGTGTCTACAACCCAATTCTGAACAAAGTTTGATCATTCCCGGACGAACATGGGTTTTCAGTTTCAATACAACACTGTGGCCCCACTTTGATCTACAATCTACGTTTGCAATAATCTTGTTTACAAAACTCTATACCACCCAGAAAAATTCCAGGGCAGCCCCTAAGTGTTTTCCGGTTCAGAAAAGGTTGACTGAACCACTGCAAAACGAATAGCCGAAGGCATTTATTCTATGCAACTTTTGCGCCAGGCTCCTGCAATAAATTGACTTCAAAATGCGAATAGAATTCCATCTTTCCGGGCCTTCACTACGTTGCAAATTGATGCATCAAATGAGAGCCGTCATACTCCGACCATTTGACCAGGCCATCAAAGACAACATGCAGAGGAAGAGCGACCAGGGACCTTGGAATACGATAGTCCACTTTAGTATCCTCCATGAACAGCTTGACCTTGCCTCGCGCTTCTGGTAAGTCGTTGACGAAAATAACGGACAGCGTTGGTCCCAGCACCGATCCTTGAGAGATACTGCTGGCGATGTCGGTCAGTCACACGTACTCTTTGCCGCTGGATGGAAAGAGACTTTAACTTTACAGATTTGTTGACAACTTTGAAGAGCTGCGAAATGTTGCGGTCAATTTATTGTTCATATTTAAGTGGTACGTTTTAAAAGGTCTCCCGGCACTTGCAAACTGACATAACATGACTGAGTTTACATGTTTTAGAAAGATAAGCTCTTTTCACACCGGCATCATTAGGCAGGGATATAATTTGGTACCACATCTGAAATGCATGAAAACTGGGATAAACAAGAGCGAAACCCATTGTTTGCCTTCAGGTCAATCAAAATAATTTGTAATGTAAATATTTCTCTGAAAGCGATGCCAAAGTTGCATTCGATATTGCCAACAGTGAGTGCTCACGTTGCAAAGTTACATTACTGGACGCTATCCATGAACGGTCTGCGGTCAAAACCAGGTCATGTGCCGCCCCTCACACGGTCAGGGGCCGGCTCTGGGTGGCACGTCTGGTGACAAGGCGCCAGGATGGGCTCTATCAGTCATGTGTCGCCGGTAGGGGATTGTCCCTGTGGTGGCATGTCTGGTGACAGGGCGCCAGGGTGGGCTTTATCAGTCATGTGTCGCCTGTGATGGCACGTCTGGTGACAAGGCGCCAGGGTGGGCTTTATCAGTCATGTGTCGCCGGTAGGGGGCACATGTCCCTGTCCCTGTGGTGGCATTACATCCGGCCGAGCATTGGTGTTCTACAACGGTGGTGGAAATCAAGCGATAAGGGGCTGTGCGTCTCATATCGTATTTCATGCGCTATGGCGGGCTATTTCGGCTTTGGAAGTGTCCGTTCAGCTCCATCATTCACTTTTGTCGGCTGCTTTGTGGACTAATTGTTCGGTGATTCGGTGATTTTCAATTACATATGGCTAAGCAGACTGTTGCCAGTTCCAATTGTTGAGACATCCCCGGCCCAGAAGATGACATCTGCTCCTAGGCATTTAACCTGTTCGCGATACAGCTTTTGGCCGGCATTGCGGCGAGCACTATCTGTTCCATCTATGGCCGACTGTTGATGGGCACGCCGCTCGATAGGACCAAAAATAATGTCATAACGTATTTAGTTGATGTCTTGCTTGCTACTCTTTAGCTCGATTGATCAAATATGTCAACCTTGCTTTTCTTTGCTTACAGTCTTGTGTAGCTCCTATCCAGTAGAGCATACGATTCAATATCCAGCATATGATTGGGCTGTTTATTTATGATGATACGATTCATTCAATTGGTACAGCTTTTAACTGTGCTGCCTCATTAGGCTGCTCAACACATATTCACGATCGGTGACGTTACTTTGACCCCATCAGTTTCTTGCAAGGGATCAGGTGAAAGTAAAATTGGTTTCGTGGTTTAAAACTTACGGTTTAAAACAACGGTTTCTCGGTTAAGAGCGGTAGAAATAAAAAAGGTGCTCGATTCCAGACATAGCTCAGAAAGGCGATCGTATACCGAGTAGACATCTCCTGCCAGGTCCAAATACAGAATACCTGTTATAGCGTGGCGCTCACCTACGAAGCTCTGGTTATGCCGGACAGCACTGTGTGAACACTTCTCGCCCATCGTGCCGTCGACTTGTCCTCAGTCCCATACTTCGGCCAGCATTGATCTTGATGTAAGGGTAAGACCTTGAGGCTTGAACCCATATGTTGCAGTCAGCGGCCGCTGGTAGGCCATGAGTCATGACCTCATCATTAACCTCACGTTATCTACTTTCAAAAGCGCAAGTATGTTTGAAAATGCCCTGAGCCTTACAAGCCTTTAAACCGTTTTATCAGAATATTTGATACAATATTTTAAAAGATGTCTGCACAGCCTCTAGAAGAAAACGACATATTGTCTTAGATAAGACGCTACGAAGTCTTAACGGCAGTTTGGTTACGACTCCTGAACGTGGAGTGGGGTGAGGGTGAGATAATGAGTGATACAGAGAGTTACGGCATCTGTCGTATGGCCAAAATCATCCAGCTGTAAACTCCTGCGCCATTGGAGGTGCTATTTATCAGCAAATTGTGCCGGAAACCAGGCTGCCAGACCAGCCAGGTCCCTGTAAATCCGACCAAATGATATGTTTCTGCTAGTAAATGCAACCTCAAACGTTATGACCTTTATTCGGAAGCGGGTATCATCGAATTTCATTTTTGGAATAGGAAGACAGCATGTCGGGTTTGTTCTCTAAAATGCAGTGAAAATTACTGGTCAAGCTCATGGAGTGCAGTCTGACCTTGATCAAGGCGAAGTGTTTTGCAAAATTGACAAAACAATGGGGGGGGGGGGTACATTTTCCTGCATTGTGTGGCCTTTTCAGATAAAGAGCAATGCTTACTTTAGTGGCTCAGACCGCTTAATAAGCGTGTTTAGAGAAGGGCATATGCCCAAACGGAAGCGGCACAGCACCAGGGGCTAATTTCTCGCGTTGAGCAACCCGTGCTTCGACCAAGTGGCTTCAGGGACAAAATCTTAAGCATTCAATTAATAACATTAAATGTTAACCTGACCCAATACACAAATATTAAGTAATCCATTCCACTGCGTAGGATGCGCTGCGCACTCCAAGTACTCCGCTCTGCTGCGCAAGGTTTCTTGCTGGGTCCATCCCCTGGCACAGACTTGTACCCAGCTGGTTTTCAGCGCGTGTACCAAATGGGACGAAACAGGGCCCCAGTTGGAGCCCAGCGCCTGCCCAGGCCACACCGATACCCTGATGTTTTACCAGCATGTGCCCAGCTGGTGCCCAGCTAGGCCGCGGGCGGACGGCCTGGCTGTGGCAAAGCCGCCGCCCATCGAACAAATGTCAACAAGGCCATGTAGAGCCGTGCTGGGCATTCTGGTACTGCCCACCTAGCCATCTGAAGCCAGGCCGGGGTCCCAGAAAAGAAAAATGCTGCCTAGGCCTACGTGGGTGAGCTCACTGAGAACAGAACATGCGCACATTAGTATAATTGTAATGTTACTGAAGAGCCAACTCACCTAGCAGCGTCGTTACTAACAGGAGTTTCATCTGCGTCATGTTCGAAGTGAAATGGGTGGGAGACGCTTTCCCTTCACGGTTACAACAGCTAAGTACAATGTTCCCCGAAACCACACCTGGCCGGCACTGGTGTGTTTTCAAACAAGCGCGGGAAAAGGGCTCTCTCCATAGGAGGGCATCCGCCTGGGCGTATTTGAGGAGAGGCTGAGAACCATATTCTGAAACGATGCGTGTGGAGTGGCAATGTTTTGCTCGACATAATTGAAATGCATGCGTTTTATTAATGTCATTTTGTTATAGTGAGGTTGAAAACGTCAGTGTCAAACGGTTATGATGACATGCATATTGTGGAAGCTCTTTTCTGTTGAAAACATTCATAAGCACACACCATATTACCCAAGCACGCATGGTGAATTACCCGCAGATGTCACATATATGCGCGTGTATATATATATATATATATATATATATATATATATATATATATATATATGTATTTCATAAGGCGTTCAAATGCACTACCTTCCGATGTGGGACCATTATCGTCCGCCTGTTAGCCGCTGCTTCGTGTCACCTGCAGGGACAGCCGAGGAGACTGCAATGCTGGGCGTCGGTGCGTTTTCCTCTACAACGCTCCGAATGATCATGCTCAGAACCCTTTTTATATTACTTCTGTCACTAGATAATTCTGGAGAAAGGTTAGACAACCCAAGTGGGGATGGGTTGGCCATATCAATATCAATTTTTTCCTTATATCCGAACGTAATCTACGTTAAATCCATGGTGTCACACAACACATCTGCACAACTCCGAGGAATTCCAACACCCCTGGCCGTTATCGGTGTAGAGATAGCCCACTGGGCCGTAGTAAAATACATAGTTCCGGCGGTTTATTCGGTGAGGTCATTCAACACCTTCAGGGGTCCTCATGAAGTGTGGCAGGACGTTTTAGCTGGCCGGAGCCCGATAGCTAAACTGCCCTTTGCCACTATCCTGACCCGCAGTAGGCAGCCCGATGTGTGAATGGCGGATGTGTCTCTCTGTCGTGTCGTTGTTTGTGCTGAGTAGGTTCGCCCGTGCTGGCGACTGCCTCGTTGTGATGGTCTCATGAAGACTGGTCACGTTGTGGTAATATGTCAGCCCTTCCACATTCAGGACCACGTTTTGGTTTACCAACGCGTAAATATGGTTGAACTTCCAGCGTTCTGACATTACTCACGCGGAAAAATTTATAACTGACATTGCACGTTTCGAGTTTGGTTTTCGCTGCCGCACACAGATATACAGCAGCGAACCACAGATATGACCAAACTACCATTGTTCCTATATGTTCCATGGGGAGACTATTCGAGACGGACCACAGGCAGCCACTGCATCGTATTATCATGCCGGCAATGCGCGCCGAGGTGAGCGATTCATCTAAGGTCAACTCAAGGTCGAGTGCCGCGTCGCTCTTCTGCGTCACGCTGTTTCTGTCGTGGCTTTAGACAGCCGCCACGTGCCACATCACTTGCTGAGTGCCGATGGCGATAAGCTGGGCCTTGCCAGCATGCCGCCCAAACATTGGTGCGCCGTGGAGACTGCTCGTCCCATTTGTGCTGTAAGTTCAGCCCATTCCAGCTTTCCGCGAGCTACGATGATTTGTGCATCGCCCGCGCATTGGACAACACGGACGCCGTCCTCCACATGGAAGCCGATGTCGTTTGATGCTGGTAAAGGTGTCGTAAAGCGACGGACCGAGGACGCTGCGTCGTACATCATACATCCCCTATCCCATACATCCCCTAGATTTCCGAACGATCGGAATTTGAAAGGTTAGAACTGTTTAGACGTGAATGTTACTTTCTGCCTGTGGTTGCGAAGAAAGTCTTGCAGCTGGTGACGGTCAGCGTCATGAATAATTTTTCGAGAAGCTTATCATGATTCGCCACATCAAAACATTAGGGCAAATTCGATATCACAGTGAGTCGTCCCTATCCATGGAATATAGTACAAAATCAGTTAGGTCGTCAACGTTGTTTCGGTTGAGTGGTGTTTGTGAAATCCGTGTTGTGACTGAGCGATGAGGTGGCTGGTATCGACAAAGCCATACAGTTGCTCGTGAACGACTCATGTAAGGTTGTTCCCTGCTGCTCACGTCCCACTGCTCGCTTGACTCCTGTGCCATACTACACGACCTGCCAGCTACCAGAAATGTTACACATGCACAAAGTAAGTTCCCACTACCAGTATACACATTCAACGTGCCCGAGCCGTGCCTACACCTCCTTCACTCCATCGCTGTTTTCCCGAGGTCGCAGGTTCACTTACTCTGGACCGACCGAGTGATCCTGAACATCTCTCCTACCCACTAAACAGCATGTCACCGAAGTGGAAATGGCCCCGCACTTCAATCAGTTCCACGCCAGTCATACATGGTTCCACACAGACGGGTCCAGATCTCGTGGATGATCTCTCAGATGATCACGTGGCCTTGAGACGAGCAGTCTAGGAGCGGCAAGCTAAAACACAAACAACATACACTGGCCGCGGGACAAACTCTGCACCTGCAGGACACGTAAAACGTCCATCCATAACGCTGCGTTTCGAATACTGTACCATATTGGGTCAATCCATGCCCTTGACACTAGTCTGGCAGTCCTTGGGCCAACCGATACCACATGCCTACAGGGAACGTCGATTCACTGCAGCACCTTCCCTTCAGTCCGCCTCTGTACGTCACTCCATTCACTCACGTCGAACACTGGCCGCCAGTATGGCTGAGCTGGGCAGGACGGACGGGCTGGCCATAGCTGGGTGGAGCCGAGAGCGGTAGCGTTTTCGTTGCCGTACCGTACCGCCTATACCGTCAGGTTTATCGCGGCATTCTCGCTATAAATCAGTCACAAAAGCAAAAATGATGCATTCGAATAGAAAGCACTACTTAATGCCGGCCAGTACACGTGATTTTAATGCGTCAGCGAGGTAACGCCGGAGTTATGGTGATACCCCGGCTGGACCACGGTACCCACCTGCTACCATCGCTGTTGTGGAGACCCATGGTTGAGGCGCGGGGCCAGCAAAACAGACAAGATACACGCAAGATCCTTTCAAATCATTGCAATAGCAAGGGTCGAGACAACATCACGTCGCCAGGCTGTTCTTCAAACGTGGCATCTGTCTATGGGCACTGACTCGGCTCCATATGGAAAATGTCATGACGACGAGCGTGTTTCACGCTCATCAGCAATGTCCAGACACGACCTGGGGCTCCGAGTCTCTGCGATTCATGACCGCGGATCTCCCTCTGGCCACACGGTGCATGCTGAAGAAGAGACACGGATGGGTTCAGGACGTTTATCACAAGATACGCTTGGCCGATCGCCGACCAAGGCTTGCAACCAATGCACTTCACCGCGAACTCAGTTCTGGCAATGCAGCCTTTCGTGGAATAACCACAACAAAAGGTATCACAAAATTCATTCGGAATGGTTGGCACCGAAAGACGATGTAGGCATGCACACGAAAACCTAGAAGGCGGCGCCAATGATGAAATAACTGAATCAAAACCAAATCCTCGGGACCGCTCATGAGGCACACTAAGGACAGAGATACAAAACACCTTAACAAAACTGAAACGGAAACCGCGTTGCCACGACCACACACCTGGTGACAAGGCGCAAGGAAATTGTCACCGTTAAAACCAGTGAAGAAGCACGCCAAAATGGCGATCAGACCAGTAACTGCAGGAAAATAGACGGCACAAACAAACGGGGCTCGAAAACTGCGGTGGACAACCTAAAATCGTGCCAAGCACCAATGAAGTGACGGTGCTGTCCTCTCGCCCAAGCGACCTTTTTGCCTCACGTCTGCATCCAGCATCACGCCACAGTCAGAGACAATGTTTGCGTGCCGAAATATTAGGAAATTACCCGTCTAGGACCATGGAGTTACCTGCGCTACCTTCTGGCGCCCTGAAAAATGCAGCCGGGAGGAGCAACATGCGGCAGTACGTCCCCCGTCACCAATGAGCCAGCCCCGGCTTTACACAGCTGAGACGAGCTGCGTGCTGTACAGTCGGCCGCCACGCGGCGCCCGCTGAGGGTCGGCCGGCAGCGGTCGCCGCGCGCTGGCGACGCTCAGTCGCGCACGCGCTGCTCCCAGATGGAGGTGCGCCGGTTACCGACGGTCGGCCGAGCCACCTCGCTGAACGGCTGCGTGTTGATCTGCAGCTTGGGCAGCGCTCGACGTAGCGTCTCGACGCCCGCCTCGTTGAAGCAGTTGTACACTTCCATCCTCTTCAGGGTGCTGAGCTGCCCTAGTTGGCTGCGGAGACGGCGCGTGAGACGTAAGCGTTAGAGGCTAGGCGAAGCGTTAGGCGCTAACTGGCTGTGGGGACGGGGGGCGGTCACAGTTCATTTGATTCAATCTGTCTTTTTGACGTTTTAAGAGGGACGGAAGGAAGGCAAGGTCTCGCTTACAAGCTTGCGAACAAAGTCACAAGGGAACTGACACCACCAGTCACACACTTTTCGTGACGCTTTACATGAGCGTCATGGCAATGGCTGGACATAGCGGGCTGGACGATGGAAGCTGACATTTCTCCCACTTTTCATCATCCCATGGTCGAGAGAGAACTAGACGTTGAGGGTGTGCCGTCGCCGCCTTCTCTTGTGGGCCATGTTATCTCACGGCCCCAGTACCATCACCTGGATAAGCCCACGGGTTAGGATTAGGCGACTTAACCCTACCCTCAGTATATGGCTTACGAGCGAGGTATAAGCTTGACAAGTTGGCATTTATCCCGACAAACTTTCAGCAGACAATGTTCGTCATTTTGGCATTAATCCTTGTGAAATATTAACAAAGGAAGCTAACATTTTCGATTCGACTCGTTTTTCGTCAGGCTTTTCCGCGTGAAATGTCATCGGGTGGCAGTTCTTCCACGTCACGATTTCTCCATTCATCTTTACACGTATCGATTTATTTCTTACTGGTATTGTGCAATACGACGATTTGATTCACATCTTATTAGTCAACCTTGTCAATATATGGGTGTATGTCATGGTTGTTTTGCCATTTGACCAATTTCCACTTCGATGGCTGTCTAGATTTGGGCTACCGTCATTGCCATTCGGAGCTGCCATTTTATCATTCGCATTCGGCATCCGGCTGTGACACACGAATCCTTCAATGGAGAGCCTTTTTAAATGTGACCTTTGGAGGCAACAGAATTAACCTGCAGTGAGAACGAATGACTGTCTGTCAGTAAACGCGTCACAAGTGATGTACCTGGGCTATCTAGGGAATGTGAAAAGCAACTAATTTTGATCCCACTTCATGCAAAACTAGATCGCCAAAACGTTACGCAGCCCTTCTTTAAGTATGGGGCGACCAAATCTCCAGGCGGTCAATCCTTATCAGCGGTCTCGAGGCTTTGCCTCCAAGGTGGCGTCTAGGCAACGCTGACCACCGACGGAGCTGGCCCATGCGCGAAGCCTTCCTCACCATGTTTTGGCAGGCATATTCTTATAGAGATGAGGCATCAGTATGCTGTGACACGATTTCTTACAGAAAACAGTTCAGACACACCGTTTGCTGGGCAAATGCCCCGGCCGCAGGAGGGTAAAACCAAAGCAAGCCCTGTTGAACAAATGCTTTTTTGGGCAGTGGGGACTAGGAGATCCGATGAAAAGAAACTTGTCAGGAGACAGCAAAAAACAAAACAAAAACAAAACATATGGGATGTATCGACGAACAGTACAAGAAAACTGGCTCTGAAGTTCGACTCAAACAAGCCCAATCTAGTTACGCACGAGTGATGTCAGTTTCGACCTGAAACATGGAACTATGCCCCTCAGCACGCAGAACGAGGCCAAAGTGGGCGGCCACTGCTCAGACCAAACAGGCCGGCCGGGCGCCACCTACACGCAGTTCATAGCCGGGATGTTGTAGCAGCGGCTGAAGCCGATGTTCTCGATGGCCGACAGGTACTGCATCATGGCGTCGAAGGCGCCCTGGCCGATGCTGGTGGCGTCACTCAGGTCGAGCTCACGCAGCCGGCTGCCAGCGCGCCGCAGAAGCTGGCGCACGTCTACCAGCGCACCGGCCGAGACCGCACGTGAGACAGGCAACACTGACTTCACTGCCAGACCTACAAAAATGACAGGCCATGACCTTGCATCCTGCCTAAGAATTTACTACGCGTGTTTTCATACCTACACAACTGATGCGACACTTCCCATCCATAGTCCTCCAAGACGTCGACATCTTTGGCACATACCCCAATTAACGATGGCCCCCTTCTCATCCGAATAGTACATTCAAGAATGGGCACAGCTAAGATGAACCATATATATTGTCCGGTCTGCTCGCAAGAATCAGCCTTGTACATAAACAATGTTCGATCATAACGCGAACCCGCGTCGTGGACCACTCGTGACGCGTAGGGCAGGACGACGGGTGACCACTCACGCGAGTCCTTCAGTTCGTCCTTGCAGCCGGTGATGTTCAGCTTGGTGACGGTGGTCGGGATGCAGGCGGCCAGCTTGGCCAGAGCGGCAGCCGACAGCTCCGTCCACCCGAGGTTCAACTCCTCCAGTCTGAAGCAGGACAGCGGAGTGGCCGACGCCATCATGACAGGATTCAGATCGCTCACGCCTACCGTGCGGACAATGTCAGTGGTATTTACATGGTCAATTCAGTGCACCCCACATACGTCAACGGACTGCTAGCTGACCTCAAACAGCGGTACGGTAAATGACAACTGGTGCACACACCTGGTGCACCCGTTCAGTATGTGTCCGAGCCCGACGGCGGTGATGCCGGTGGCGAGCGCGCAGTTGAGGGCCGTCAGCTCCGTGTTGGCGGCAATATTGGCGCAGCCGCGGTCCGTCAGGTCGCAGCGCTCCAAGCTCAGCTTCTGCAGCGACTGGCAGGCGGCCATCAAGGTCCTCAATGCCTGAAACCACGAGATGAGCGTGGGTGAGGAGGGCGCAGCGACTGGCAGGCGGCCGTCAAGTCCTCAATGCCTGAAACCACGCGATAAGTGTGGGTGCGGAGGGCGCAGCGTGGCATGCGGGCCGAATCCACTAACATCAGCAAGACTGAGACTTTTAGTATTCCTTTTCGTTCCGTCGCACAGCAGAACATGTGTATCTCAACATTCTCTATGCCTACCAACGAAACTTGTATCAATACAAGCATTGTCTCGCTGGAATCGAAAACATGCAATGTGTACAAAGCTCAGACGTGCGCTCAGTATTGCAGCCATTTACTCCATAGGATTAATGTGAAGAAACCAAAGGCCCTGCAATGAACTTGGCATTCGAAGACACTAAACGAACGATCGCCGCGCGCGAAGCCAAAGCTTGCGTGCCAACAATCCTGTGATCTGTGGCCACATTTGAAATGTCCATGCAAATGAAGTACTCCAG